TGTGTGGACTTAATACCTATGAAACCTGACGGGATTTCTTTTCCGAAAAAGTTTCTGTACTTTTCGTTTGGATCCCTTCCCAAGGCAGATCTAATTTGCAGAATGCAGAACACCCATGCAGGAGCATAACAAGAGGCGGATCCAGCAATTTGGCAACACCGGATTGCCTCCACTTAAACCTGTGCTAAATAATCGATTCTTGTCTGAGCACCTGGCCCCTCCAAGAATCGATACATTTCCATAGGTTTAAATGGAGAAAAGACAATGTTGGCAATTTGCTGGATCCTCCGATGGCATATAGCCCACTTAAACCTATGATAAATAATCGATTATCGTCTGAGCACCTGGCCCCTCCAAGAATCGATACATTTCCATAGGTTTAAAGTGAGAAAAGACAATGTTGACGATTAGCTGGATCCACCGATGGCATAGCCCACTTAAACCTATTCTAAATAATCGATTCTTGTCTGAGCACCTGGCCCCTCCAAGAATCGATACATTTCCATAGGTTTAAAGGGAGAAAAGACAATGTTGGCAATTTGCTGGATCCTCCGATAGCATAGCCCCGCGGATGGTGTGAGAAAAGTTCAGTGGAGTTCATGCTGTATCAGGCCGATGGTTCCCCACGCTGAAGACAATCAATTTGCCGGAACCCGTGGTGATGGCTAATTGATTCTTATTGCTTGGTGCTCCTCTATCATTAAAACAAGTCGCTCAATCGGAGTTGAGCTTACGACTCTCTGAGCTTGTGCGCCTCGAAGTCCCGTCATCGCAGCCGCAGGGTTACTATCTGACTCAGTTTCTGTTCGCGATCACGTTATGATCCATATTTTCCTATTGAGTGGCCGTGGCTAATTCTGCACAATCTTTCTTGCAAATCATTTCCGTAGTCTCTTCCGGAAAAGGAAAACCTTCGAGCCATGTTCTCTTACTTTACCAATTCAACGCTAGAGACAACAGAAAATATTTTGAAACTTGAAGATTTTACAATCCGCCAGTGCGTGAAGAGACTTTACAAATGAGGGGCTTCCCTGGTAAAAATTGGCAGTAAAATCTGTGTTCCAAAATACCATAGACCTACAGCCGGCTGTAAGATTTCCGATAGTTTCTATAGCCGGCAACACAATCTATACTATAAGCTCCAAGACCTCCTATTTTTGCGAAACTGGTGACGCTTAGTTCCAGCGTTCTACCGCGCCGATTTTCATGATTTTTGCGGTTATCGACGGGCAATTGTCTCTAAATAAGCCAACTCTTTTCAGATTTTCAAAATATGGCCCAGGTTTTTTTATATTACGTGGTAAAGTTGCGAATTCTCCCATTTAAACAATGTAAATTTATACTTTTTGTCATAGTTCGTTTGAGCGTTCTACCGGGCCGATTTCCATGATTTTTGCGTAAATCGACAGGTAATAGGCCCTAGATGAGCCCGCTGTAATCAGATTTTGGAAAAAGGACCCAGGTTTTCTTAAAATCACGTTATAAAAGTGAGTGAGTTTATAGAATGCTCCGGTACTGCTACCGCTATGCGCGGGAGGATGCGCAGTGGTCGAGGAGGTTGCGCAGTAGCTGTGTAGCCTGCGCATCAGCTCTACACTTAACTACACAAGATTCGCACTCAAATCCTCACGTTGAGCGGTAACCGAGTCGTCTAAGACGTCGAATGCGTCCACTCTGAATTCGGTGTAAGTTCGATCCCCGACTCGTGAAATTTTAATTATTACCTGACTATCATTGTTCATTGTTTTACTGCAATATTTCATCAAGCAGTCATTCCGAAACGCGTCCTTTTAATTTTAAAGTAATTTTAAGTAAAGTTTAAAATTGAAGTATATCTCATATTGTAATTGTTTAGGGGAAAAATAAAACTAACACTGATAGGAGGGTAAAAATAAGGCCGCGAAGCGGCCCCTTGATGGCGCGGAGCGCCTTCAGGGGGTTGGGCCGCGTAGCGGCCAGGGGGCGTAGCCCCCTAGTTTCTTATAGCCTTTTATAGCCGATGGCGATTAAGCAACAGCCTGGCGATAAAGTGTATGCTAAACGTTGCTAATTACGGATGCTAGGACTTCGTGAGTTTTCTGGACTACCGCTCTCTTTTTGGGCCGTAGTATCTTGATTTATTTTGCGAGGAAAGCTCCGTTCTTTTGAAGGATGCCTGCCATTCCTAATATGTTTGAGTGCCTTCAATTTCGTATGATACTGTGCAATACCTCTGGTGCGAAATAGTTGCTTCAAGCGCCGTGGTTCGCTGCGGCGCGGCGGGCGGGCAGCCAGCGCAAAACGCGCATTGGCGCCTACAAACCTAACAGGAATACTTCACGCATTGCGCAATGCGAGAAGTATCCCTGTTAGGTTTGTAGGTGCCAGTGCGCCGACGCGCCGCTCCGCTTTGTGTTAGCCTCTAATATTTAATCTCGTGGAGTCAGCGTTTTTCAACTCATTATTTGCACACTCTGTATGGATTATTCTCATTTTAATTGATGAAAAAAAAAATATGTAGTAAAGGATAATATAATGAGCGTTTTGTAAATATTAAGGTGATTCCGTACAAACTTAAGGATTTACAAAGCACACGAATTTCTACACAATTTCTTATAGCCTTTTATAGCCGATGGCGAAAAAGCAACAGCCAGGCGATAAAGTGTAAAGCCCGGCGATAGGAATTATAGCCTCGCTGTATAATTTTTTATCGCTTCGTGTAGCCCGGCCGTAGGATTTTTTTTCCACTTCCTACAGCCAGCTATATGATTTCCTATCGTCTTCTCCAGTCGGCTATAAGAATTCCTATGGTATTTTGAAACGCAGCTCCTATCGCCAATTTTTACCGGGGAATGATTGCATCGCGATTTAGGCGAGGTCCAGAACCAGGAGCTTTAAACTGTTGCATACTGTAATACTGCATTTCCCTGCTGAGACCGGACAACCTGCCTCTTGATTTGCGATGTTAAAACTTCTTGTCTTGCTACACTTTTGAAATTCGATAGCGACAAACTCACTTCTTGACTTGCAGAACACTTGGTAAATCAACTGAAAAATTTGCTCATTCTCTTAGACTGTCTGGAGAAAATTATGAACCGCGGTTTTTTTCTGCATAGATTTTGATGTGTGAGCTACAGACTTAAACGTCTATCGGCTATTCCGGCAAATAAAAGTGGCATGCAATTAATTCAATAAATCGAGAATATTGATCGATATATCGATAAATCGGTGGAAATCTATAGATCAAAGACCTACAAATTTCCGTCATTTGCCCGAATGAGACTTGGAACTATTTTCCTCTTTTAACCATAAATCCGGCCACATTCATCAACAATTAATCACTTTCCGGCCAAAGTATCACAAGTGCCATGCGACGTTCCAAAACTTCCGCCGCCATTTTATTTTTTACAGATAAATTGGTGTTTGAATCTGTTTGAAAAGTTCACTGAATTTTATCGGCAGCACAAAAAAAATTCAGTGACATTTTCTGACAACTTCGTTGAACAATTTCTCTGTAAAAAAATAAAATGGCAGCGGAAATTTTTAAACATGGTATGGCGCCTGTGATACTTTGGCCGGAGGGTGATGCGTGATGCGCGTGTGTGACATGTGGACTTAGGAATACAACTTTTTTCTCCGATATTCTTTTAGACGATTTCGTCTAGTTGAACCTAAGGTGTTGATTTCCTAATCTCCGCAATAGAATTGTAGACCCGCATGTTATTGCCCTCAAATGAGATTCATGTAGCCAACAGCTGAAACGGCGCGTGATTTGAATACAGTCATGTTAAGGGCGTTCAGCTTGGCATCATTTCATCTGTCGCGAGAATTCATTAAGCACCCACTCGTCTGCCAACATGGATGGTTGCGATGGAAATCTAATGATAACGCAAACACGCATCGCACAATTGAATATCTCATGGGTATATCCGGGCAATAATTCCGAGGTGTGACGGAATATATTGCTTATTTTGCCGTGGCTTGTAAAACAATAGACATCAAAGCGCACAATATTTAGCCTGACTCTGCTGTACCGAGAAAAATGGGATTATAAAAAGGAATATGTTGAATACTGGAGCAGAAATTTTCGTGCCCGCGCATTTATTTGAAATTCAGTGGAATAGTCACGTGGGTCGCGTGAGAACATAGAATGAGCTTCGAAAATTCTTGTTTTGATGAGGATTATCAATCGTCAGATCTGAACCCTGACTGAATACTCGTTGATAACTGATCTCACAGTTAAATTCATCGATAAATTGACTTCATTTTGCAATATCTTGCTCATCTACAGAAGCACCTATTTGCACAGGGGTACTAATGGTACATTTGATTTTTCTATAATGAGTCAGAAACGGTTGGTCTTTAATGCAAAATGTGTTCCAAATGAACCAGTTCATTCACATTCAGTTTCAACCCATGTTTCATTTCCACGTCAATATTTGATGTATGCACGTAAGAGGTGTCTCAGAGCTGAACCACCAGACTGCAGGGACAGGCGCCATTTGTGCCATGGGTCAGAGTGATAATCTTTCCCTATGTATTTTATAGTGCCCAGTTGAGCTATGGGGCCCCTTTCCCAATTTTTTTTTTGAAGAATCATAGTTTTAAGTTTGCTTTTTTTTTAAATGTTGGTAATGGACGTAGACCGAAACGCATGCATGGAAAAATGATTCCTCTGTGAGTAAAATAATTGTTGGCCCAACAAAAAGTCTCTTGTCGTGCTTAGCGAAATTCCAGAATTTGCAATATTTTTTTATCTTTTTTAAAAAAGCGTCTTTACCAGAAAAAAATTGCCATTGTGCTTCTTTTTTCAGTACCGGCGGTCAATGGACTTGACTATATTGTCAATTCATGAGAGTTTTACAATTGAAGATGAGCCGGTGCCAACTCAAAAGTCAGTTTCTCTAGTTTTTTTGTTTTTGTTTTTATAAAATTGAGTTTTTCACCCAAATTCTTAATTTTTACGCTGCCAATAAATTGAACTTACGAGAACATCGTGAAAATAAAGATTCGGTACTTACAAAATCCAACCGAGAGCAGCTCCAAATCAGTTCCAATTCCAACTCCGACTTAAAACAAAAACATTTCCCAAAAACTTCCCAAAATCAACCACTTTACGCACTGCGCGGCACTCTGAATATCCAAGTTTACGGCCGTTTTAGCGATCAAAAGCGGATGAAAACTGTAATTAGCCGAGGAGAAAACTTGTGTATCGGCGTGCTGTATTGCGGCGCCGATGCTGATACGGGGGGAGGCGGGGTTCTGGGGTACGGGCCGGGGCCAAAGCGGCTGATCTGATCGTCACGTAGCGCACATCCGCCGCTGTTCGCGAGATCCGAGATGGGATTCAACTCCCGAGCCGGCCGCACGCGGTGAGAGTGACAGACAGACTGACTGGTGAGTCGCCAGTTCGCCAGCCTCGCGACACCGCCATACTTACGCCTTACGCCACCGTAGCCCACGCTGCCAGCTTAGGGCCGGTCGTGTCGACTGGCTTAACGCAACGGGAGCGCTATTTCTGCGGAGAAATTTTTCGGAGACACCCCATTTTGAAATGGGGTGGAGGGCCGTCCATAAATTACGGGACGCTCTAGGGTAGGGGGTCGGAGAGAGGGTTACGCCATTTTGTTTTCCCGTGTTAAAGGATAGGGACTTAGGTCACTAAAGCGTTACGAGGAGAGGGGGGGGTCAAAAATGCCGAAATGGTGTGTTACGTAATTTATGGATGTCCCCTAGGGGTGAAATTTCGAGGAATATTAACACGCAATATTGGTCTCTCATGGAATTATTTCCGGGTAAAAATGAAAATCTAGAGGGATGTTCCTCTGCGGGGGAAGGAGGGGGGGGGGTCAGAATCAGCATAGCGGCATCCCCATTCCCTGGTAAAAATTGGTGATAGGAGCTGCGTTTCAAAATATCATAGGAGTTCTTATAGCCGACTAAAGAAGGCTACAGAAAATCATAAAGCTGCCTGTAGAAAGCGGAGCAAATCATATAGCCGGGCTATACGAAGCTATAAAAAAGTATACAGTCGGGCTATAGTTCCTATCGCCGGGCTTTACACTTTATCGCCATTGGCTTTAAAAGGCTATAAGAAATTGTGTAGAAATTCGTGTGCTTTGGAAATCGTTAAGTTTGATGCAGAACTACCTTAATATTTACAAAACACACATTATATTTTCCTCTTAAAAATATTTTTTTTTTCATCAGTTAAAATGAGAATAGTCCATACAGTGTGTGCAAACATTTCAAAATCATGAGTTGAAAAACGCTGACTCCACGAGATTAAATATTAGAGCCTAACACAAAGCGGAGCGGCGACGCACTGGCGCCTACAAACCTAACAGGGATACTTCACGCATTCGCGCAATGCGTGAAGTATCCCTGTTAGGTTTGTAGGCACCAGTGCGCGTTTTGAGCTCTCTGTCCGCCCGCCGCGCCGCAGCATGCCACGGCGTCTGAAGCAACTATTTCACATCAGAGGTATTGCACAGTATCATGAGAAATTGAAGGCGCTCAAATTTAATAAGAATGACAGGCATCCTTCAAAAGTACGGAGCTTTCCTCGCAAAATAAATCAAGATACTACGGACTACGGTACAAAAAGAGAGCGGTAGTCCAAAAACTAACTGAGTCCTAGTATCCGTATTTTGTAACGTTTAGCATAACTTTATCGTCTGGCATGTTGCTCAATCGCCATCGGCTATGAAAGGCTATAAGAAATTGTACAGCCGGCTACAGAATCTATTGAAAATCTTACAGCCGGCTTTAGGTCTATAGTATTTTGGAACACAGATTCTACTGCCAATTTTTTACCAGGGTTCCCTGAGGTACCACTCTCCAGATTTTCCATTTTACCCGGAAATTATTTACTAGTCTCTCAATCGTGAAAATTGTGGATGTTACACTTAAGCTGAAAAAAAGCACCGGTACTTTTCTCCCTGATATCAGCCTACATAAGTAAGGTTTCCTCGACTTTGCTAGGCAACTATATCCGCTATCCTCTATCGATATTGCCAGCACTTGAGGGACGTTGAAGCAATGCTGAAGAATGCTGAATTTTGCAGACTCCGGTTCTTCACACGCTTTTCTTCAGAAACATAGAGAAAAAATGTCCCGGATTAAATTAATGTATTTTGATACCCAATTCCAAAACCAGCCAAGCACTAGTTTTCTGGGTAAGTCTTCCAGTTCAGGACGAATTCCGTGGGAATCCATTCAAGAGCCATATTTTTCCACGTCTACAGAGGAGTTATTATGATATATCTTAGCTACTGAATCCGAAGCTAATCTCAGATAATTTGATCGCTCTCCAGTTTCAAAGTAGCGTTTGGAGCAGCATCCATACCTTTTTTGTGATAAAAATTATTCTCCTTTCCTAAATTTTCAGTTGGAATAAGCATTACATAAAGGTTTTTAAACGTATAGGTAATCAGCTAAAAATAATTACAATTTTTTTCAAAGGACTTCTCATCTATTTTAAGAAGACATTGAAAAAGGATTTGAGATTTTGCAACCTTTACCTACGTAATTTTCGCGAAAACACTACAGTTTCCTTTATTTCTCATAAAAAGTATCATTTATAGCTCATAAAAACCTCTCAAAGTTGAGGATGTATGCCGGCACGAGTCGTCATTATAAACATAGCATAGTTCCCCTCTGCAATTAGTTTAATTATCTGTGCAGAGATGGGGCTGAATACATGAGCATCACAGATGCAATCCTCTGTGAGGGCTCCAAGAGCCGGCCAAGTAGGTAATTTTTAGCCCACAAATGAGGCAACCTCGTTCGTGTTGTCGACTTGTAGACAGATGCGGTCTCTTCACTATCTCTTGGCAACCCGAGAGTAAAAGTTTTCACCATTGTCGGGATACTCCGAACGAGTATCGATTAGGCCCTGAAAAAGTTCCAAAGAGAGAAAATGACTGGGCACGGAGGTTGGAGGTGGATTGAGAATTTTCTACACTCATGATTTTTACCGGCATCACATTATCTTCGAAAAAAATTCACTTTTTATTTCTTACTTTATAAAATAAAATCATGAGAACAACGCATTACATTTATTGCGCGAAGAGCTTCGGGGGGTTGGGCCGCGAGGCGGTCAGGGGGCTTACCAAATCCTTTTTTTTTTTACAAAATTTTTATTTTGAAATTGCACATGGTTGCGGACAATCCTCATCGAGTGATTAAATCAATGATAACAATTTTTGGATGAATCTTGAAACTCTATTGTCGCCCATTTCCAACCTTATCAAAACTCCTCACTTTTACTAATTATTTTAAGATATCAGAAAAACCACTTTAAAAGCTCCATCGGTAAATTTTCCTCATAATTTTAAAGGTGCTTCGATCCAAGCAACATATTTGTAGTGTTGTCTTTTGTTGATTTATATTGGAAAAAAATAGAAGTTGCAAAATCTCAGCAATGTCACAATATGATGCTTGTTTATACTCTCAGAATGTTTTTTTAAAAAAATGTTATTTCCGCATGCCGATGAACATATGGGTTCTGAGATTATCGAAAAACCTATTGGAAGGACGACATGCACAAAGAAGACCGTGTAATAAAATACTGGATTGAACAGTTACATCACAGAGCTCGGTGTTGATTTTGTTGGCAACTCATGCCTCCATTGATAAAACTTCGCATTTCCCCGCAAATCTGGACTGACGCAGATCTATAACTTGACCACCAAAAAGTTTCAAGTGCGTGGGCTCCTCAGTTTCGAGTTCCTTGTTTGGTATGGTCCGACGCGACGTGAGCTCTGGATGTGATTGTACTTAAATCTCGAAAGTGCGATGAACCCGACCAGAGACACTCAAAGCAGTGTAGAGGCCGGACTTGTAGGTACTGAGTTGCCCGAGAACTTCCCAAGTAACATTATTCAACGGGTAAATCGCGATATATGTATAAAAAGTAAGTTGCGATTTTTTTTACGATTTTTAGGCGCTAAAATCGCTTGGATAATCCACATCTGAGCGATTATTCTCGATCTGGTCGCAATTTTATGTCTATGAAATCGCGTTCGATGAAATCCAGCTTTTATCGATTTATTACAAGTGCTTGCTCGATAATATTGCGACGAAATGCCGTCGATAAAATCGCGATTTCAATGCAACTTTATGAGATGAAATAGCTATTTATGGCAATTTTTTATCCGATAATACACTGATAAAAATATGTGTGCTCTTGTGTTACTTGTGGTTAATATAGGAAGTGAAGCATAAACCAACACAAATTTTGTGCTGTGTTTAGTTAGTTTGCGGCGAATTTAGCGCAAAAAACCATGGAAGGACTTGAGAAATGGATTCCTCCGATGGTAACGTTGGCATTCACCACTCGTTTTTTTTTTATTATTATCATTATTAAATTTCTTCAAGAAAACTAGGCGGCATTTACTCTCGAAATTTTCAACCGAAGGCTGAGGTCATTTTCCGTTTTACTTCCCGTGTCAACCAAACTTTTGTGTTGAAATTTTTCTCAGGGTATTGGTATTGGAATAAATTGACATCGATGAAATCGCGATACATTCTCTAATAAATACGCAACTTATCGCGATCACTACTACTCCGATTTTTTTCTCTCCGAGCAACTTGACAACACTGACTTCGGCTCATCTTCACGCCTTGCTCAAACTTGCGGGAAGATTTGCATTAATGAATAGGACTGCCTCCCACTGAGGCCAGGTTTACCGATGGAGGGAGGCTGCTGCGGCTGGACCGTGGATCTGCCCTGGAGGGGGTCGAATAAAGTTGGGGTCAAGGTCCATTGAAACAGGTCAGTCTCAGATCATCGACGGCTATTGGGTGATGTCAACTTCGCAGACTTTGTTAGCATAAACACAGAGACACTCACCTGCTGCACGGTTGTCAAATTCAACTTAAAATGTATTCTTCGCAGGCATATTCATGATCAGCTTAATCAATAATCAGTCCACCATCATGTCGAAATAAAAGCTCTAAGCTGTGTAGATCCGGCACTACACAGAACGTTACACAATGGGGCCTCCTGACAGATATTCGTAGGATTATACCTGAAGTTAGGGATCGGGGAATGTATTCGTAAACAATCGGGAATTAACTATTCCATGGATTAAAATGTTTTGCTCCTTTCATGTTCTGCTCAGCATTAAGAGATCTGAAACTTCTTTTTTAATTTTCCAGGTTTCGGGGGCGTTCAATTTAGTGATTCGCTAAAAGTGGAAATTCGTGCAACAATACGATTGCATTCATAAATAATTCATAAGTTAAAAAAATGATGGTCTAAAGTTGTGTTTTCTTATTCTGTTTTAGTGATAGTACTTCATTTTGACCGAAAATAAGTAGTTTTAATACTGGAACTAAAAGTGGAAATTCGTGCAACAATACGATTGCTTTCATGAATAATTCATATGTCAAAACAATGATAGTCTAAAGTTGTTTTTTCTTATTCTGCTTTGGTGATAGTACTTCATTTTGACTGAAAATGAGTAGTTTTAATACCACAGACATTTCCTGTGATTTTTCATATCAGGGACAGACTATTTACTGTCTTAATCGGTTATTCTCTAAGACTGCCGAAAAAATCTTACAGCGTTCCCGAAAAGAGACGAGACAAAACACATCACAATAGCTTTATTTACAAGAATAAATAAAATCATCATCCAATTCTTCTCACCGGCTAACATATGCACGGCCACGATGTGAGATTGATAATAACTCTTGAATGCAACTATTCGTGCTCATTGGCTGCCTTGGTTGCATATTCAATTAATTGAAGGCGTTTTTGGCTCGCTTGCCCTGGCCCTGGCATTATTGCGTCTACCGTTGCATGTGATCATCTTAGTTGCAATTATGCAGTAGAAATACAATCACGTTATCGAAGTGAAAAATAGAAGGAAACGAGTTTAAAATAAAATATATCCTGTGAAACACAAGTACGTTTTATTAAAAAATTACATTTTAGTATAAAATTGTTTTAATAATTTAAGACTTTTTTTCAATAAATATACGATGGGAGAAGGAAAAGATATAGAAAGATAAAATATTTTACAAAATTGAGATACTATGTACACGTACTGGGGAGACAAGCTCATAACCTTGCCCCATGGAAAACCTATGGAGGTCCATGAAAATCGTTTTTACAATTTTGTTATAATCTCTTTGAGAGCTATAATATACCTCCAGAAGGGAGGATATTCGTTCGTAAAAAATTGGAATTTTCACGCACTAACAGCGTGAAATGTCTTTGAAAAGCATATAAAAGCTCCTAACTGCCTTCATTCCTGATATAGCAGCTTGAGAGGTAGAGAACAAATGCTTCTCAAGGATCCTTACTTGTCACCTCTGAAAAAAGAAAAACAGATAATAATTTATAATTAATCGCGTGCTATATAAGATGTTTCTCTACTTACAATTAGTTGGAAAAAGAAAGCCTTTTATGTATTTCCGTTACCAGTCTGTAGAGCTGGGAATATGCGAGAGCTGCGAATGCTGAGAAATATGACATGAAGTGGATCGTATCATTGTTAGCAAAAGGAAACCAAACGCAACAGCAGTTTTCAAAACTGTGCAACTTCTTCGCTTTAAAAAATACTGAATATATAAGTGTGTATGATAATGAAATTCACACGACCGACCATTTTCTTTCAAAATAACCATTTTTTAGTAGGAAAACAAACACTTTTTGCAATTACCCGGATTTTCTCCTTATTAAGATGGAGGTGCATAACTTTTACAGTAGACTCTGGACTATCCGGATTAATTGGTGCCGGGCCCGATCCGGATGAAAAAGAAATCCGGATAATAATAGTAAACACAAACACCACCAACCAACACCACAGTATTCTTATTATGTATACATCATGTACATACCAACACGAATGTAAAAGGTTAACGCCAAACTGAACGACTCAATGGTGATTGTGAATGGTAGCCGACAACGATAAATTACAATAGAACGATTAAAGCGCGCAATGCGTGAAGTATTCATGCAGTCTTGTAGCCGCTAACGTACGTTTTAGGCTAACTAACCGACTGCACTGCGTTTGGCGTAATGCGAGAAGTATTTATGCAATCTAGAAGGCGCTAATGCGTTCCACGCCGACCTCACTGTTTGGCGCAATGCGTGAAGTATTCCTTCAGCCTTGCAGGCGCCAATACGCCTTGCGACCGCTTCTCCGCGGATCCGCTCACTTATCGGAATGCGTACGTAGTTACATGGTTGCAAAATCGATCCGGATAATCCAGAGTCTACTGTACAACACTCTAATCGCGTTCATTCCCTTCTGCTGAAAGCGGGCCATATTTTTGAAGATTTATTTATCCACTTTTTACGTAACTTTGGGAGACAGACGTCACGCACACACTCACTCGCAGGGTAAGAAAGATATACACAAAGTCATCGCTTCCTTATCCATTATGTCAATATAAGCAACGTTTCTTCAGGGACCGTTCATAGAATACGTAGCGCCAAATTGAGGGAGAGGGCCTCAACCTGTGTCACGGGAGTGTTACACAGGGCGGTGTGTGTGTAGGGGGGAGAGTCTAGGATCCAGGACCGCGCTTTGCCGCTGTATTGTTTTACTTTTTTTTCTTGAATTAATTCTTGTTTCACTCAACTTTTTCCTTTGGATTTGATAATATAAAAATGTTCAGATCCCATGGACGTCCTGTAGACCACTTAAATTCTCCTTTAGAGCGGAATTTTGTACTTACCGAAAATGAAGTGAAGTTGATTTAACATTCTGGATGTAAAAAAGTGTGCGAGAACTCACAAAATGCTAAATTACCCGCTATGGCAGTTAGTTTTACATCTTAACATTGCTAAAGTAGCAGCTGTGGCAGTTTATTCAGCACTTTGTGAGTTCTCGCACACTTTTTTTACATCCAGAGTGTTAAATCAACTTCACTTTTTTTTCAGTGCGATTTTCCTCTAACATATCATACGTAGCGTGCATGTATGCATAAGCAAGAAGAAAAGAGCTTTGCGGTTTGAATGCACATGCGATTACGACATTGTGTGGGTGGTTGCCCCCGAGTAAGTCTGTCAACCTTTCAAGATGCACGCTTCGTCAATGAATCATGGCACGATAGCGAGCTATAAATAAATACAGGAGAGGCAAAGGTAATGGTTGAACTTACCGACTGGCCTCGGCCGGCAGGTGGCGTAGCGGCGTCCAAAATTAGTACCCTCGATGGCTTGGTTGCAGTCGTTGTGGCCGTTGAAATGGATTAAAGCATAGTCATCACAGTCCGTTACTTCATCGCCGTTGCAGTCCTGATGGAATAAAATTTGCCACAAATTAGTGAAAGTATGATTCGAGGCCTCGCCCTCCTTTCAGTTGCTTCTTGAAAGAAAATTGACGAGCGAATCTCTAGAGGAAAGAGGTGGCACTCGGTTCAAATTATCACCGAAGCCAAACTATCCAAGTGGCAAAGATTGCAATGAATTGTAATTACATGATAAAATTAAAGCTTAATTACCCAAGTAGCATAGATTGCGATGAATTGTAATAACATGATAAAATTATTGCAACTGCATCGCATTGTTAAGTATCGACGGTGTAAGTCCGCAAACACGTATCTCGGTTCACGACGTCGCAGACTTCCTGTCATACTTTATTTTTTAAATGGAAAGCCACTCAACGGCAATGTTTAAAAACTGCCCTGATTTTTCCTCTTTGTGCGAAGAAAATTCTGCAAAAACTTCAATGAATGATGTCGATTTGTTCTCCTTTAAAAATAATAATGGAGGAGCGGAAATTTTCATACACCGTAAACGAGATACGTGGATGTGGACTTACATGGTCGGTATGTTGCTTATCTACTGACTGAAGGAGCACTTCTTTTTGAAGATTATTGCAAAAAAAACTCATATAGGTTGCAATTTTTATTGCATTGCATTTTGCCTATCTTTCTGACACATGGAAGTCACACCGTCGATTGTTCAAATTCAAAATTAAAATTTTATCGCAATAAATCGCAATTTTATTACAGTATTGTCCTCGCAATTTGTTATGGTTGGTCTGTTCCACAAAAGAGGCACATTTACATAAATGAATTGTACTATACTGCAGGGAATCTCAGTCATTTAAGTTTGACTTTGTTTTTACAGAATATATATTAAAAGTGCGATTTATTTAGAAGTAGTCCTAATGAGGCTTTTAGATTCTTAAAAACTGATGTATGGGTTTTTCGAAGAAGATGTGAGGGATTTACAATGCGGAGTGGAACATCATCGTAAATGACTTGGAATGCAGCCACTGGGGTTTTCCACAGAACGATGATGCAACTGATTGTGAGCCGCGTGAAAAAAGCTTTGAACTTTGACACTCACTCTAAATGAGCTTAGAAATTACTGAAATAAGGGTTTTGTCCGTATTGATGGAGCGTTATTTTCTTAAAAGGTATAAATAAAAACCCGGTGCAATAATGCTCATCTGGCTTTTTGGTTTTGCTTTTTTTCTGATGAGAATAACTCTATAGTTACTAGACTCTATGGTTACTCTTGGTTACTTAATAATTCACTGACAGTGAAAGTTTCTGAATCGTTCTTTTGATGCTTAAACCCTGAAATGCATCGTTCACATATCGAAAAGCTCACATATTTATAGAAGATTTTTTATACCATCCAATTTTGCAGGTGAACTTCGATATAATTTAAGAATCGCAATAAAAAATACCGTGATTCCCGCCGTAATTCTAGTTTTACAGGAATACACAGCTATTTTGTCCTTTTAGGACCTCCTCAGAACTTAAAATATCTCTCATAACTACAAATTAAGTTAAAAAAGCAACCCAACATCTAAAAATAAAGAAAAATTTGCCTTACCAAACCCCACTTAGACATGTAGTTTTCTACTGCTCTCTCGGCGCAACGAAAGTCTCTCGCACAATCCGCAAAAGCTAGAAATTGATAAAAAAAAAGGGGTCAAAATCAGATTTCTCAATTACACGCACAAACAACATATCGACGGTGAAACTACCAAACCACGTATCTCGGTTTGCGACGTCGCAGACTTCCTGTCATACTTTATTTTTTAAATGAAAAACTACTTAACATCCAGTCTTGAAAATTTCTGTGATTTTTCCTCTTTGTGCGGAGAAAATTCCGTGAAAATTTCAAGGAATGATATTGATTTGATCTCCTTCAAAAAAATAAAATGTGAGTGGAGATTTTTAAACACCGCAAACGAGATACGTGGTCTGGTAGTTTCACCGTCGATATTATTTCAAATTAGCAGGGAGTGGATTAGGGTCAAGTACGCTTATCTTTCACTTCCCCTTTTTCCATACCGAAAAAATGGCCATGGATTTCGTTTTTTCGAAAATTGCCGATCTATATGATTTAAAAATGTTCATATTGTACAGCTGAAGAATCGATTTTTTTTTTAAATTTTGACCACGAGGCTTTTTTGGGAACTGCATAACATCTGCCGCAAATATTTTCCATTCACCAACAATTTTTGACTAAATTCATCATAATTTGTTTCCTGGAAAAATTGTTTTTCTACAAAGTTTAGCCATTTTTGAAACAAGCTATTCATCCCGGATCGACCGCAACTTGAAGTTCTCAAATTCCTCTAGTTGAGCGTTAATTACCGTCAGAGTCCATAAAACCAGTGAGCAAACTATTAGCTTCTTCCTTAAAAACAAGATATTAATACCGTGCGAGCCGGATATTGCAATCTCACATAATTACAAGCTATAGGAACTGTTATTAAGTGTGATCATGATTTATATGAGTTTTTTTTTTTTTTTTTTAAACTATGAAGTCGACTCTCACAAAACAATCTGCAGGTACACAATAAAATCCTGACATCTCACACACGAAGTATGAGTTAAATCGGTTCGTGCGAGAATGTCAGATGTCCAATACTTACTTTGTTTCAGAATTTACATGCTTGAGGTGGTATAATTATACTATATCATACTAAAACTGGACGTATTTATGCTAAAAGGAACTATGCGCATGGGGATTGCGTGTGACATAGTTCCTTTTAGCATAAATAGTCCAACTGACGAGCAAACGTCGGTTTGAGACGTAAGAAAAGTAAAATCAACGGTGTAACTTCCAAACCACGTATCTTGGTTTGCGACGTTGCAAACTTCACGTCATACTTTATTTTTTAAATGAAAAACTACTCGACGGTAATTCTTAAAAACTTCCGTGATTTTTCTCTTCTCTTAGATGAAAATTCTGTGAAAACCTCGGAGAATGATGTTGATTTGTGCGCCTTTGAAAGAATAAGATGAGAGTAGACATTTTTAACCACCGCAAACGAGATACGTGGTTTGGTATAGTGTGCCATCGTCTGACATTCATTAGAGGACCTACGACCAGCGGGTCGATTGTTGAAACTGATAGACAAAGCTATAGACAAAGAAGATAAAAGGGATAAGGAGGGATCCTATCGGAGGAAGCGGGTGGTTGCAATAGACAGAGGATAGGTCGGTAATAGAAAAACTAGTGGCAATGCGTGAGAGACCCTTTAGTTAGTCCATCATTTTCCCCCGTAGGCTATAAGAACCACCCATTTCAACCAATAGGATCGCTCCATACTCCCTATGTCTCATTTGTCTATCGGGTTGTTTATTAATTTCAACTATCAGCCCGCTGAGCTTGTAAGACGAGGTTTAAAATCCGACAAATGTAGTTGTAAATGTACTCAGAACATAGAATTGATAAATTAGTGTTGTTGTTTGAAACAAACTAATTCAATTCTGAAAAACTACAATGGACATAGACCGTTCTCACACGAGCCGATTCAATTAGTTGTTAACGACCTACATTATGACATAATGCGCCAGCATGATTTGCATAATTCATTATGACTTCATGCAAACCTATCAACTTTTACTGAACGATGAGTCGGAAGAGGCGATCGATAAAGGAATCTACGTTAAACCTCACAAGTCTATTTCTTCATGAGCCATCAGTTCCGTAAGATTGCCTGTATTCTAGGGCTCATGTAAATGTTCGATTTAAACATGCAGAAGATGCTGATCTTGCTCAATTCGAATCGGAGATTAAAGCGAAACCGGAAACGGAAGGTTACCTTGATCCCTGTCAGGGTCATCGTCGGCGGACAGCGTGGGTCGGCCGGCATCTTCCCAGTACTCCCTGTTGAAGAAGAACGGGCCGCAGTATCCCTGCGAGCATCCCTGGGACAGGTTGCAGTTGCTCGACGCGTGGCACAGACATCGCATGCACACAGGACTCAGATTCGATATGAATTTCCCGTTCGCCTCTGTTCGGATAAAAAACGCAGTCGAGTTAATTATGAACTAGGAGAATCACCAATAATTAAACACGAAGTCAACATTTACACTGGGAAAAAGTTGCTTGGGTCTAGAGTCCAGACTCTAAAAAACATTGGCAAGAAAAAATACTTTTGATTCAATCGGACTTTTTGCTTGAATCAAAAGGAAACCCGCCTAAATCCAGAGGCTCGGCTCTTCGATTCAAGGAAAAATCGGATTGAATCAAGAGTATTTTTTTTTGTCAATATTATTAAGAGTCTGGACTCTGGATCCAAGTGATTTTTTTCCAGTGAATTGGATCGAGTCCAGATAAAAAGAACCAAGTTTTTTTTTGGATTACGAGGAGTAATTTTAATTGAATATCTTTTTTCAGTGTATTCAGTTTTAGTTACTTAGTTTACCTATTCCAAGAGGAGAAAAAAAAACTAAGAAATGGCCCGAAATGTATGTAACAAGGTGGTGAAATGGTGCTTGGTCCACACCATTTCGCGGGGAAAAGGAAGCCAAAAAGTTACAAAATTGAAATGTTTGGAACTTTTCGGCTTTGTTTCCCTCCTATTCTAAGATGTATAATTGAGTTATGGTTCAATTTAGTTTAATATTCAGTTATAGTTACTTTTTCGATCTTCATAAAATGCAGAACAATTTTGATATTCTTCCCCCTTCCCCCTCCTCCTGGGATAGGCATCGTAGAATTGTAGAAATTTGTAGAGATTTTAAAATCAACATTCCTGATTTACAATTTTCATTGCTCTTAAAGATTTCTGACCGCGAGGAAGTCAGATTCGCTGCAAAACTGCTTATTTTTTTAAACATTTTTTATTGACTTTGTTCTCTTCTCTAGAATGCAAAAAGAGCCAACTCGAAAAGGGGAAAGGAGCCAATTGCATCGTGATACTTGTAGAGTTTTCCATCCAAATCGCTCTAAGGTGAATGATTAAAAAAATTCATAAACATAAAAAGATGTTGAGAAGATGGAACGTTCTTTTAAGTCCATTTTCAGGACACTTAGCTATACACGTATTAAGAACCGCCATTTAGGTGCATCATCCTTTCTCCTGCACAAGTCTCGTGCAGTGCAAGTGCATATTTCCTCGTCAAACGACATCATTATTTGTTTTAATTGGGATAATGCCTGGATTTCAATTTTGTCTCGCAAGATCAATAGCATTAATTATGACTAATGATTGATGAGAAAATAACAAAGTAAAAAAGTCAAGAGTATGCGAAAAATTGAATGGAGACGAGTGATTCAATAGGACGAAAGTTACATCCAAGGAAGCCCCACAAGGGGGCCAGTGGGGGGTCGAAGAAAATTGATGGCTCGCACTGTTGCCAAATTTCGATAATAGTTCTTTAAATACGTATGATTTTACACAGTTTTCTATAAGACATGACAACAGCGAGTATTCATTTATATGGGCGATCAATTTGCGTCGCATTCATGATCTATGCTAAGCGTTTTGGGAACATGGACGTGTTCACGCTAAAAGAAACTATGTTACATCCCTATGCCCATACTGCCCTGCTAGGGAAAAACGTCGTATGAACCTTCATTCGTTGCCAAATTTACTTCGATAAAACACAAATTTCCTGCTAAACTTATAGATATTTTTCTTCTAATTTTTCAGATAATTTCGCTCGCAATTTCAACTAAAGTTCCTGAAAATTTCAAGGAAAAATATTCATGACTTTTTTCATTAATAAACATTATATTCGAGGAAATTCGGCAACTCTCGAATGTTCATACGGCGTTCTTCCTTAGCACGGCGGCATAGTTCTTTTTAGCACGAATAAGTTCACATCTGAACCAGAGCGGAATTCTTAATCAGGTGAGTACAAGTGTTTGATGTGGCTCACCTCTGACTGCGACGGAGACAACTAAAATCACCAAAAAACTAGCTTGCAAAAGCATTTTATTCACTGCCCTTAGTCCTAAAGTACGTCAGGAATGGAGAGTAGACCATTATGGAGTCCCCACCGCTGCGGCCCGCAAAACAAAGGTTGACACCTCGGCTTATCTTCAAAACAGCTCTATCTCTAAATTCACAGGCGAAAGGTTAGGATGACGTCAGCTACCTTCCGTAGATCACGAGTGCGCGTCGAAATTAAACGGCTTCCGCCTTTTGCGGCCTTTTTAACACGAACGATCACTGATTACCGACGCTAAGGTATCGATAGACACAGACGAGATAAAGTGGAACAATGTTACATGGAGATCGGGATGAAATCTTACATAAACAACACTCTTTGCACTTGGTCGAATTCGCGGTTTAATCGATCGAACGATGGTTTTTTTTGTTTTGTTTTTTCGCGGGGTAATGGAGACACGGTTGTGTTTGGGACAAGCGTTTTCTCCAGCACGCGGCTGCGTCAGGACGTCGGACCCGATGGTAACTGATAGGTCCGAACCCGGGCTGCTCTCATAACTCGCGAGTAATGAACGCACAAGAAACAGGAATTCCCAACTCCGCGATTCGAATCAGCACCGCTAACCTTGAGCGGACCTCTGCCATAGGCTGGGCGCTCCGCCGATCTTTCTCATCGGTGTTTTTTCCGTCAACGCGAGCGAGCTTAGGTATATCCGTCCGCGACAAGTTTGGAGGGTTCGCGGACGGAAGGAATCTGAAAAGCCGTGGTTCTTGGAATAATAAATGGGCTGTTTGATACGACTGGTTATTGCATTCGATGAATTTTTGGGATCATTTATGAAATTGATTCATCTGATAAAGCAAATTGTAGCCGAGAAACGGTCAAACTTTTCTCGAATTTGGTCGGACTAGTTCCGCAAACTTTCGACAAACTTCGACTGAACTAGTTTAACGAAATGTCGCCAAAGGGTGGTTGAGTCGAACTTGTTCGGCGAACTTTTGCGGAACTGTATCAGTGTAAAACCTTTAGTTCAGAAAACTTTCGTCCGCCCAAAGTTCGTCCTCATACTTTAGTAAAATTTCCCCTGGTAAAAATTGGCGATAGGAGCTGCGTTTCAAAATACCATAGGAGTTCTTATAGCCGACTAAAGAAGGCTATTGAAAATCATAAAGCTGGCTGTAGAAAGCGGAGCAAATCATATATCCGGGCTAAACGAAGCTATGAAAACGTATATAGTCGGGCTATAGTTCCTATCGCCGGGCTTTACACTTTATCGCCATTGGCTATAAAAGGCTATAAGAAATTGTGTAGAAATTCGTGTGCTTTGGAAATCATTAAGTTTGTACGGAATCACTTTAATATTTACAGAACACACATTATATTTTCCTTTAAAACATATTTTTTTTTCATCAGTTAAAATGAGAATAGTCCATACAGAGTGTGCAAGCATTTCAAAATCATGAATTGAAAAACGCTGACTCCGCGAGATTAAATATTAGAGCCTAACACAAAGCGGAGCGGCGACGCACTGGCACCTACAAACCTAACAGGGATACTTCACGCAATGCGCAATGCGTGAAGTATCCCTGTTAGGTTTGTAGGCGCCAATGCGCATTTCGCACTCTCTGCCCGCCCGCCGCGCCGCAGCGTGCCACGGCGTCTGAAGCAACTATTTCACACCAGAGGTATTGCACAGTATCATAAGAAATCGAAGGCGCTCCAACATATTAAGAATGACAGGCATCCTTCAAAAGTACGGAGCTTTCCTCGCAAAATAAATCAAGACACTACGGCATGCACAAAAAGAGAGCAGTAGTCCAAAAACTAACTAAGTCCTAGTATCCGTATTTAGTAACGTTTAGCATAAACTTGATTGTCTGGCTGTAGCTTAATCGCCATCGGCTATAAAAGGCTATAAGAAATTGTACAGCCGGCTACAGAAGCTATTGGAAATCTTACAGCCGGCTTTAGGTCTATAGTATTTTGGAACACACTTTCTACTGCCAATTTTTACCAGGGTCGACAAACTTTGGTCAAACTCGTGTCAAACTTCAGTGCAGCGAGGAAACAACCTAAACGCTGAGATTATTTTAGGAAAAGGCGCAAAAATAGTATGCTTTTACCGGCAAATTTTTTCCAGAATATTCCTTACAATATCACTGAAAAAAAGAAAAAAAAAAAAAAACGCATCAGGTCTAAAAGCCGTGTCATCGGCTATATAAATGCATTCCGTCCGCATTTTCAGTTCAGGTACCGAAGTTACGACAATACTGCCGCGCTAAGGAAGAACGCCGTAAGAGCCTTCAGCCATTGCCAGATTTTCGTCAATAAAAACCGAATTTATTGGGAAAATTGTGAATAATTGTTCCCCCTAACGCGATTTATTATAAAATGTCTGAAAATTTCGAGGAACAATACGAGCAATTTTCTTCAAAAATACATGTTATATCGGGGGAAATTGGACAACTCTCGAATTTTCATAAGGCGTTTTTCCTTAGCACGGCAGAATAGAAGTCGTTACTGACGGCCTCTGAGCACAAAAATGTGGCCACTAAAATCGGATGCTAATGCAGAGCCCATGATTTTAGCTCTCATATAAGGAGCATTTTTTTTTTCAGGAGATATGAGAAAAACTCACCGGAGCGTTTTTTTTTTTTGTCTCTAGATTCTTACTATAAAATGTAGGAAAAGAAAAAAAATCCTTTTAACAATGAGCTGCAGTAAAGTTCAGCAGCCCGGTGAACTTGAACTTGACGAGTGAACCGTCACTAAAAGTGCACCAGAATGCGACCTAAAAAGCTTAATTCGAACTTATTTATTCTAAAAGGAACTACGTGCATAGGAATTGCATGCGATATACTTTCTTTTAGTACACACGCGTCCATTTCATAGGTAGAAGGACGACTTTCCTCGGAGTTCGAGAAGTTGAGGAATTTCCATGACTAGTCAGGTACGAGCGACTGTGTTGACATAGTTTATTGACCTCGTCAAAGTTCCCCATTTACTTTCCGACTCATAACTTATTATTATTTCTTCGCCAAGTCTAAATTCGATGAAACCTTTCAATTTGCACAGTGTATTAATCATCATGCCCGGAAAAAAATTGTGATAAGGTTGCAAGTAGATTTTCGTATGCTTATGATCGATCAATTTAGATTCTGTTAGCACAATTCTATATCGACGGTGAAATTGCGAAAAAATGCGTTCCCCGGTCGCGTTGTTTGAAAATTTGCACTCCTATTTTATACTTCAAATGAAAACATAAAGATAAATCATGCCTTGAAATTTTCACAGAATATTCTTTACAAATACAAGAAAAATCATTCGAGTTTTCAAGAAAATAACGTCTAATAGTTTTCGATATAGGAAATAAAATAACAGGAGATTTGCAACGCTGCAATCCAAGATGCGCATTTCTGCAGTTTCACCATCGATATGCACTCCTTCATCAATGCAAATGCACAGCTTTATCCCGCCCAAAATGTTAATTCATTCCCTCCAGGTATCATGAAACTGAGGAACGCCTGACTATTGGATAGGTACGAGTAAGGCCTTATGATGATTTTATTTTAGAATTAGATGTTTTAAGTACAAGTGATACTAAATATTTGACTGAACACTTCACGAGGTAAATGATGAAGAACAATAGAGTTAACATCAGTGTGATAATGTCTAAGCAGAAGTACTCGATGTAAGTTGTGTCAGCAGTGACTGATCTTAGATGAGATGCACCGCCATGTCTTGCGACATGCTCCACCCAAAAAGCCGCATTGTCCTTCGCCTTTGCCGTGAAGTCTCTTGAAATCGATGACAATTTCTTCATGCGCTCAGCATATCTGGGGGAAAAGGGACAAGTATGTGTGAACTTGTGATTGATGAACATTATTGCATGGATGAATCCAATAGATGCGATCAGTTACAAAAAAAAGGAAATTGACCTAAATAAAACAATGCCAAAAAAATAATAAAATTGAATGAAAAATGAAAAATATATAAGGGGCTTGGAGGACAAGGCGCATAAGTTCAATTTTTGAAAAAATTGAGATATTAATTATTTCAAGTAAAACTATTCCTAACGCATACTCTGTGAAATATTCGTTCCAAAATCCAATTTTTCGCATCAAAAAGTAACTTTGAACTTTCGCTCCGTCAAAAGGATCCATGTAATTTCGAAACTTCAAACACGTATTTCTCAAAATAGCAAAAACTGCACTTATGCGCCTTGTCCTCCAAAGCCCCTCTTATGTTGCAAGTTTATTTGAGCGGGTGCAGCTCCCATTTGAAAAAACACGATAACACCATACTCTAACTGTCATAAGCGGTCAATTATCAGTGATGATACAGAATATCGACGGTGAAACTACCAAACCACGTATCTCGGTTTGCGACGTCGCAGACTTCCTGTCATACTTTATTTTTTAAATGAAAAACTACTTAACATCCAGTCTTGAAAATTTCTGTGATTTTTCCTCTTTGTGCGGAGAAAATTCCGTGAAAATTTCAAGGAATGATATTGATTTGGTCTACTTCAAAAAAATAAAATGTGAGCGTAGATTTTTAAACACCGCAAACGAGATACGTGGTTTGGTAGTTTCACCGTCGATATTTGGATAGAAACTGATAGTTTTTGCCGGGAGGAGGGGAGGGCTGCGGCAAGAAGCCGTGTGAATCAATCTTGGGTGCAAAAATCCTATGTAGTCTTAATGCGCATCGTTTTATTTACAGTCTTGATTTCAGACCGGAATTTTGTCTGAGCCAACCGTTGGGCTTACTGGCTATTTGGAATGGAAATTAAAGTACGGCGAATAATTTGAAAGCCAAATCTTGAGTCAAAATTTGCATGTAGTCTATCAGTTCAAGTTTCAAAAGCAGCGCTTGGTATTTTTTAAATTTTTCCTCCGCGTTCTCATCGCCGAATCACCCACCTTGTATCAAACAAAACTGCCTCGAGGGTTGATTTGATTTTCTCATAATACTCGAGTTCCTGTGGCCAGATCCGAGTTCCAATGCCGGCGTCGACCATCTTAGCCACGTTCGTTTCCTGATCTCCGAACCACGGTATTCCTACAATGGGCACTCCATAATGCACCGTCTCCTGGAAACTCTGGCAGCCTCCTTGCGTGATGAACACTTTCACTTGCGGATGAGCTGCAAGATTTGACGCATGATCACTACATGAAATCCCCATATAAGTGCAGACGGATTTTTTTCGCTCGAAAATTGATTACATCATACATGAAAGGTTCAGCAAACACTGGAAAAAAAACACATTGGATCTAGAGTCCGGACTCTTAAAAACATCGACAAGAAAAAATACTCTTGATTCAATCGGATTTTTGCTTAAATCAAGAACCAAGCCTCTTAATTTGAGCGGATTTCCTTTTGATTTAAGCAAAAATCTGATTGAATCAAGAGTATTTTTTCTTGTCAATGTTTTCAAGAGTCTGGACTCTAGATCCAATGTGTTTTTTTTTCCAGTGAATGCTCAGTTACATTTTTCTGGAGGGGGGGGGTGGTAGAAAAACGAAGTTTTGTATGATTTCTATGTAGAAGTGCTTTCAAGCTATTACAATTTAATCGGGACGTGCAAAAACCGCTAAAGTCCATTTTTCCAATTTTAAGTTTTTTTGAGTTCATAGTGCTTTTAAAGAGTTGATACACCCATTAAGTGATGATAGGACTCGTTTTGGGATTGAGGAAACCCGGAGGCGGGCTTTGACACCACTTTCGTGGTTGCAACCAACTTTGAAAAGTATTATGAGCTCAAAAAACCTTAGGTCTAGAAAAATAAACATTAGCGGTTTTCGCACGTCCTGATTCTGTAAACTAGACTGAATACATCAGAAAAAAGTCTCTCGTAATGTTCTAACTTTACAAATGTCTAACATGCCTGACAGTTCGAATATATCACTTTCCATGTTTATAGGTATTAAATTATTAATTCCATAAGATACGGTAAAAACCATAGATGATAGCCTTTAATACGTTGTAAAAGACATAGTTTGCGTATTATCATGCGATAGCTCTAACATTAAAATGAAGGCCATAATCAGGTCATTTCACGATATAAGATTAAATCCCCATATAAATGGAGACAGATGATAATATATGACAGATGATAAGATAATATAAGTGATTTTTTGAAATTTCTCACCAAGAACACTTTGTTGTGGCATCCATTTCTGGGTCAGGATATTCTCTGACTGACCAGGTATTTTTGCATTGCCCTCGCATTTCCACAATACGCGATAACCGGTGGGAAGTTCTCTAAAAACTCTCAGGAAGTTTGACAAAACCTTCGGTGGTAGGAACTCGCTCTTCATATTGCTCCCGAGGCTGAAATAGATGACTCCTTTCTGTGCTCCATCCAGCCATGCTTGTAAGATCTAAGGAATAGGAGAGGGATTATTCTTCTTGTAAAGTATAATCATCATTGAAGAAAACAACAGGTGAACGCAAATCAGGAGTCTTTCATTCAAATGAGCGTGAAAGTTTCATCCTTGAACACAACAATGCTCAATTCGTAGTATACCAGAACGCGGACTTGCTCTCTGACTCTTGTGTATGTATTCATTCTCTTACGTGCGCGCAGAATTTTCCTTCAAAATAATGAGTAGGCAACCCGTTGACGGTTGTGTTTGAACAGTCATTGCTCCAGTCCAACGAACTACCAAGCGCACACACATGCACGTGAGTTTATGAAAAATTGACTTCGATGCCTACCTTATGATGAAATTGGAAACTGGAGTTGAGAGTTTTCATATTATTCAACAATTACGATACCACAGATTTCAGATTTTTGCTCTAAATCCAAATTTTTTCTAAATATCCATTGCATCCCCGATCTTTGCCGATTACTGAAAATTGCGGGACTCCTGCAAATTTCTGAGAACCACTCCACAACGAGCAACACACCGATGACTCCCATTACCAGCGCATGAACGGCATAAAATGCATTGGAATATGTGCGGGGTGATCCAAAAGTCCATACCTCCCCTACAACTCCTTGGGCTTTAACCCCTTCTCAATGTAACTACATTGTGTCCCTACGGAGTGTTTGGGTCTGGTGCTGGTGTTGCGGGACTTTCGGATCATCCTGTTACTTTGTCGTCCCCTGGTTGTTCCCCACACGAAGATCGTAATTACATTTCAACAGAGCAAAGTCCCCACTCAGAAATTGTATTTTTATCGGAAATCTTTTCAACATTTTTCACTGAAAATTTCACTGATTTTTCTTCAGATTAACCAGAGGAATTAGCCAAATTTTGCACACTCATTGCATCGTCTTTCTCGTGAAAAAATTGTGTATTCTTTTGTATAATTGTGTATAAAATTGTGTATTATTTTTGTCAATTCAACAGCCTTGGAATTGAGGTGCGTCCTCTCAACTGAGGAAACAACGACTTGTCTCTCTTGATTAATGAGGATCTGTCCAAAGTCCAGGAATCTTCTACTTCCTCAGGGTGCTAACACGAATGATGATTGCTCAGCACTTACCTCCGGTAATTTTTCGGGGTTTTTAATATGGAGCGGTCCAACCTCAACGATGTTCGGAGGTAGAAGCCGCGGGTAGAAGTACAAGGGATTCGAGGCGCTGATTAAAAGACTAGCATTAGGCCATCCTCCATCTGCCATCACCTCTTCACCAAGGCCGAAATTTTTCCGAAACACCGACTCGGCCAACTCTGAAACGGTTCGTCGGATCGTTCCTGTGATGTAGTGGTGCGAGGCCCAGTTCTCAATCCGCTGGAATAAGTTCATCCTGTCGGTATAGCCCTCCAGCATCGAAGGGGTATAGGAGAGGTGGATGATGCCGCCAAGGGAATCATCCTGCCCGAAGAAATCGCCACCCGCCGTCGTGGACAGGGAGATCACTGGTGGAGCCGACGCGGTTCCATTGGTGGAGAGAAGTCGGGAAGTTGCCACCCCGAATGGAAGCCATATGGCTTCTATGACGATGGCATCGAAGTGTAACTGCTCGTCCTTTGTCAGCCTGCCGATAGTAAGGACATTAGTTATTACTACTACTAATAAGTCGCTCTTGTATCGCTTCTGTGCGCTCTGCGACACCCAACCGCCACTGACAGCGATCTTGCCAAAGTAAGTATTACAATTTTAGCAGAGACAAACCGAACACCCTTTGATTTTTCAGAGGGAGAGTCAGAATTAATTTCAGGATTTATTATTGAATATAGAAGAACTATAGGATCCCTATAGGGTCTGTAGATACTCTTCTTATCAGAATATTCTAGTATATTGATTATAATATTAGGTATATTTACAATAATGACAGGATACGATCCATGAGTTAGCTACTTTGCCGCATTCTTCAGCATGAAATACACAAGCTGGTGTTTTTAGTTTTTTCCAATTCCACATTGGAGTGCTGTAAAGACACTTTAATGTTTGAGAAAAAAAATAGATAAATAAATAAAAAAAATGCAAATCTAAACACAAAATTATGAAAATGGCGAGGATTCTTTTGTTTATTAAAAAATAGTCAGGCTGGAAAAATGGACATTATTTTTTTCGCGAAATTGTAATTTGTAAAAGTTTTGAAGTAAGATAGGTGGTGGAATTGACAACCATCTTCAATAATTTGACAAACAAGTTTCACACTAAACACATTTTGACGGTATTTTCGTTCCTTCATTTAAATGTTGTGCTTCTGTGAAAACGTACATATAAAACTTTACCAAACTTTTAAAATTATAGACATAATTAACAATAATCAAACTTAGTAGAATGATTTTCATCGGATGATTCTGGTGGGTAAAAACTGTCAAAAATTTGCGATATTTTCTCAAGACTTTGTGTAGGCATGCATGCGACTCACCTGTAAAATTTGTAGAATGTATCACTTTCAAAAAATTTTCTGGCTACTTTGAACATAAGATCTGCAAACGAGAGGAATTCATACTTGGAGAATTTTCGATTCAATTGAACCGGCGCAAGTTTTGCTTGTTCGTGATAATACTGGTATAACCATGAAAAATCGATGAACGTATAGTTATTGTTACCGTCATCCTATAAAAATGTCACATAATAAAAGATAAGTAGCAGTGATAGAAGTGCCTATTATTTGTGTGTTAATCTATATTTTTCTCAGGAAAACTTAAGTTAAGGGTGTTTAAATTACACAATTTTTCATTCGGCACTTCAACGACGTTCAACGCCATTTTCGAGCCAATACACTCTTGCGAAAAGAAACGAGAGGTCAAGGAGTTGAACTAAACTTAAGTTTCTGCAACGGTAAAAGTATCTTGAAAATTTATTTTTGAGCCCGGCAAACGCCTTTATTCGGATTGCATTCACTGCAAGAAACACTATTCTGGTAAAAACAACATATCTCATTCACAGTGCTAGTCTTATCTACGACAGGCTGCACATCATTCTAAAAAAATATTGGAAGAATACTTTACTTATTCAACTTCTTCTACGTTCAACTGGTACGTTTCCGTACCGATTTTGGTATATTAGTGTTTCAAGTGTAAATTTAATATGAAAGCTATAGAATAGTAAACTTTAAATTCTAATACAAAAAGATTGCCACTTCGTCGACTCGTGAAGTTTTGTGGAATGTGCATTCTTCAAATACTTTTCTGTTACTTAATGTGATAGATACATTTATGCATATACGCAATGATAGTTTTCATCGAGCGATTTTACTTTCTTTGAATATTTTTTTCTTCTTTTTTTTCGAGACAGTCTTTGTGATACATTTTACGAGATAGGGAATAAGGTTAAATGAAAACACCAAAGTAATACAAGGTAGTAAAAAACTCACAGACAGTTTATCCGTTCCAGCGAAGTATACTTGGTGGCCCTTTTTCAGGAGAGCCTCGGCCAATCCCATTGCCGGAAGTTGATGACTCAGAGACGTCGTTGGATATAAAATTAGTATTTTATACGAGTTAACGGATGATCCTAAAATTGCCATACATAATAATATTGGCTTCAGCATCTTGTTATACTTAAATAATTTAACCATAAAAAATATTTTTTCCCTTGTTAAATCTATTAATTTTTGTTGGCTTTATCTTTCTTAATATTTTTTTAAGAACGCATATCGTTTGAGAGATTGAAATATCCTCGGAATAACGACAGAAAGTAAATATCTGAAGTAAATGATTGAAGCAGAACATTAACTTTACGCGGCTCGGCCTTTTGAAACAGCACAATAAACTATACTCAAGCAGGTTCCCTATGCCCGGGAACTTCAACGACCATTAATAGTTTAATGCGGTTTTATCAAAATAATTTTATCTACATATATACAGGGGATATTATGTTATCAATCAGGAGGTTAGCAGGTGAAAATACTTATCTTTTAGGTAGAAACAGTGTTGATTGTACCAATACGTAACACTCATATGAAGAATTGTGTACCTATACAAGTAGGATGTCTCCGGTATGCAACACGTTGCAACACTGCTGAGTTTGTGCAACTTTGTTACAATTCTGTCAATTCAAGGGACCACTCAAAAGTAATTCAAAACCTCCATTATTGTTTTCAATTTTTATTCAATTTTTTGGCCGATTATTTCAAATTTACAAGTAATAGTTTAATAGCAAAATGAATTTTATGTCGCACAATCTTAGTAGCACTGCAATTAAGGCATAAGCGCCTTTATTGCATAAAATGCTCCACATAAGAAAGGCTTTTTTTCTTTTCTCTTTTACAATACTCGGTGATATGGAAACTAGTTACGTCAGATAAATGCAGAACCTTGGCTAAAGTAAAAAAAAAAAAAAATTACTCTCGAAAATACCGTCACGATGTTAATAGTAACGCCTGCTGAATGCAACTATTCGTGGTCATTGATGGATCAAGGTGTATATTCGAGTAATTGAAGGCGCTCCGTTTTCGCTTGCTGTTATATCGACGCACGGGGCAAGCTCTTTGACTTCTATCAATCTCCCATTATTTGTTCAAAGACAATTTTAGACGAAACTAGTTACCATATATTTTGTTTCATTATCATTCATTTGTTTAATTTATTTGTTGTTATAAATTTTTTTTACAATGGAGATTATAATTTAAGGGATCTCCACAGCGTTATTTTCATACTTCAATGCTGGTTTTTTCGAGGCAAGCAGCACCATCATGTCAAAGATTAAATGGTACCTATAGGGACTATTTGGCGTGCCAGTGTGGAAGAGAAAAAGCGATACGCTTTAAAACTGAAAAGAAAGTTTGAATAAGACAGAATACCTCTCCCTGAACCAGAATCCCTGGCGTTTCAAAGTATGAAGAGGTGCACAATTATAAATACACATCTATCTCTTAGAGTTTGATGATACTCGCCAAAAATTTGCAATAAGTGAGACCGGGATGAGAGTGGTGCCATAGGAACCACGGGCCATCATATCAAGTGCGAAAATGATAGGAGAAAAATAAAAACGAAGAGAGTGTGGAGAGAACGAATAAAAAGACGATAGAAAGGAGTTCAAGGAAGAGGAAGTAGGACTGGAAAAAACAGGAAGCGAGAGCCTAAAACGTGAAATGACACTGTCTTACTTCTAATTGTCGGATTTTACCGGTTGACTCTTCAGATTAGGTGCGACGGAAAAAAATTTGTACCTACCTTCGAGAAAATTTGAATCATCGGATGAGTAGAAATGAAATCATTAAAAAACTACCCTCCCCATCACAAAATAGTTCAACTCGGTTCATGCAGTAAAGTTTTCGATCATTCCCTATTTTTATATATACAATATTTTTCACTTAACCCTTAGATGCAGGACTTTCTTTTTACGCCATGTCCCAAGTCCCATATTTCAATACATTCATTTTGATAGTTCTTGGGGAATTATTATATGTCGACGGTGTAAGTCGGCAATCACATAACTCGTTTGCGGTGTCTGAAAATCTCCGCCTCTATGTTATTTTTTTAAAGGAGAACAAATTGACTTCATTCTTTGAAGTTTTGTAGAATTTTCTTTGCACAGAGAAGAAAATCACGGCAGTTTTAAAGAATTGCCGTTGAGTAGTTTTCCGTTTAAAAAATAAAGTATGACAGGAAGTCTGCAACGTCGTAAACCGAGTTATGTGATTGCCGACTTACACCGTCGATATGCTATTTTTATGTTTATGAAGGTTAGCAATACTTTATTTTTTTAAAAAATAAAAAAAAAATGCATACCTATGTTTAGTGACATAATGGTACTTTCTTAGGTACCCTTATTCTCCTTTTCCGCCACAAATACTTCCCCCATCAAAATTAGTCGTTGACCCTACTTGGGATTTCTCGGGGTATAGTCTTCAAAAAAAAAAAAAGAAAAAGAAAAAAACTCACTGACAAGGCGCAACTTTCGACAAAATACCAATTTTTAGAGGAGCACCATTTAGGGCACTTGAAAGCTGCTAAAAAATTTTTTTTTGTTCAAAAATTGTGATTGATTTGGACATATCTTATCAACTTCCAGCAAACTTTACCAGAACGTTTCTCAAACATCAAAAATAAGAGACACTTCAACGCGCTTCAATGACGGCTGAGAGATATAACTATTTGTGCTTGATGGATGTCCGTGTTATATCTGCGAAATTGAAGGTGCGATGGCACGAGGCGCGAAGTCACAATGCTCCTCTCTATGCTACCAATGAGATGTCGTCGGTCATATTCGGGAAAAAAGTTATAAAACGATGCCCGATTACGTCTCTCCTATCTTCGGCTTCGTTGCTTACGTATCCCTTGAAACACCACTAAAAATACGACAAACGGGACCATCACAATATGGAAATAGAGCAAGGGAAAGGATGCGCATTGATGACGGCGCAGAGATACAACTATTCGTACTTGATGGATGTCCGTGTTGCGTCTGCAAAATTGAAGGCGCAACGGCGCGAGGCGTAAACTCGCACTGTTACGCTCTGTGCTGCGATTGAGGGAGACAAGTTGAAAAACAAGGCCCAAATTCGTCTCTGCTCCTATCTTTGGGTGTGTTGATAGTCGATTTTTTTTTGTTCCGTTTGACAGAAATAGTTCAATTAAGATAGTTTCAAACGCATTACGTTGAGTATGGGAGTTTGCTTCTGCAACTTCGCAAGAGGAAATTCGTGGCTTCGCACTTTGGTCATCGATTTGTTGATTACTCGTTCAAAGGTTGGTCTCCAAACTTCCCGTTGTGTGAATATAGAATACACACATTTACGTAAAATTTTGAAGTACGCTTCCACCGTGAATCCATCACTCACGACGATTTCCATGATGACAAACGCCTCGGGCAGCTGATTTATCGGCAGACCGAAAAAAAGCACCCGGAGATAACGAAAAACCTCGCATCTTCCTACGAGACGAACGGAATAACCGATTGTGCCGATCTTGGACGGATCCGCTGAGGATTTCAGAGGACTTCTGAGAATTTCAACTCTGAGGAGGAAATCAGAGTGCCTGCAATTTTTCGAGTATGCAACACAGACATCCCTAGAACACGAATAGGTGCGTCCTAACTTAGCGATTAAAAAAGCCAGCTCACTCTCAATGTTTTACGCTCGTGTTGCGTAGCCAAAAGCGTAACTTATGGCATGCATACGTCGTCGTTCCATGAGGATAGGATGGCTTGAGCTTCTTTTCAGATTGAAAAAAAAAAAAAAAAAGAACATTGATCATGTTTTCTATGAAATCCTCGGAATTCGATTAGCTATTGAAAAAGTCGGAGTGCCTACAATTTTTTTTGCCTGTGAAGTGCATCTCATTGCATTCATACATCGTCGATTAACGCGAAAAAAGGGCAGTCTGAGTACATAATCAAATTGATGAGAAAGAAATCAGTAAATGGTAATAAATATAAAAACAAAACGGAGACTGCCCATGTGGCAATTACTTCCCTGACTTCATCAGCAATTGAGGACATCGCACCAAGAACAGCCTATAACTGGTACCCCGTGGTAACCCGTGTTTTGAGAAAAACGTATTTAAAGTTTTGTTTCTGATGTGTTGCGCAGACTTTTCTATGCAGGTACCCTGTTTTGGTGTTTTTGGGTGACCCAATCCTTCTATTGAAGGATGCTGGGTAGATTTTGCGATACATTTTGGGTTTACACTCTAATATATTTAATTAAAAAAAAAAAAAGGTTTATAGTTAGGCCATTATTAGACCCAACAGTCATTTTGGTGGCAATATGAAGTATAAATCATTTTAATCACGCATGATTAACGCAAAATGAAGGAATATCGATAGTGAGTAAAGAAAGGGGTAACAAGCACCTTAGGCCCTTAAGTTTATAGGCCCGTTTATAGGTCGTTCTTGCACCCATCGATCCAGAGGCCTGACTTAACTCGGAAAAAAGAGGTTTTTTGACCTCGAGCCGTTACCTATCTATATTCAATCGCTACCACAGCATAGTCCAGAGTAAGTAGAATCCGAAAAGCAGATGGGCGTAAAAACGACCTATATGCCTTTAGGCGGTTCTTGGTGCGGTGTCCTCAATTACACACTGAACCTCTTCTGAATCTTCTCATTTAATTTACTTGGAAAAATTTAAAAACTGCACCCCATTAATTATTAAATATCTTTCATATGAAGCAGCGTTGCCAAATAATGCAATTTGTAGAATCGTTATTGGCAAAACCAAGCGGAATCACAATCTAGAGTGATCATCACTGTTTGCAGGGTGACAAGTTTTACTGGATTAAAATATTGTGTGACATTCAGATGTTTTGAATGATTTTTCTCTGACTTTTAAGTGTTTTTTATTTGGCATGATTTCTGAAACAATTTCTAATCACAAACAATTATTCTCAGCATGAAGTATCTTGAAAGTGAAAAAATGAAATGTTCTGGCTGGAGAAACAATTTTTACAGCAAAATCCCCTGTCTTTTCCCGGCTTATCAGGATTAGGAAAAGCCCTTATCTATTCTGAATTTGAAACAGGACTTACGAGAAAAACTACGCTATTCTCTACTTGATATTGCACAATATCAAATGGTTGTGGGATACCTACAAAAGATACCAACACCTCAGGAAATATAATGGAGGATGACAGAAATAAACAAGAAATTGAAATGGTAATTAATTAAGATAATATAAACTTTACTTTTACACAAACAAAATATATTAATTTAAACTAGAAATTGAAAAATCAAGAAGATGTTGAAGTGATGATGACAAGAGATTAAAATATTACAAAAAATAAATAAATTAATGATTGATAACTCAAATTAGGAAGTACATAAAAAAGTAAAACATTAGGAAGAGACTTTGAATAAAACACTTAATATACTTGAGCATTTTTTGAAGTATTTGCCAATTATTAAGAGACAATTCTTATTACTATAATTTTTTTCGAATTAGACACAAAGATTGGGTCCCTTCAGAACAATTCAAGATTTATGTAGGACAACGTCTTCAAATTTAAGATTGAAAAAAGTATTACAATCAAATTAACTAATGGCAGCTGGTTAGATTTTAAGATATCATAATTTACATTAGGGTAGAGTACACCGTAGGAGGCATCAAATGTTAATAGTTAGGCACTAATTCTACTTTTACAGAGCTGTCAGTTACTTGAGCATCATCATTTTAGAAAAGTAGTTGGAAAAGCAGATAATCCCTGTATATAATGATGATGGAATGGTTGTAGTGAGTAATGTTTGGTAGCTTCCACAGATTTGATTGATGTTTTCTTTGGAGAGCTATTAAGTTCCTTCCATACATCTGTTTTTGAATGTTTCCACGAATCCAGCAAATTTCTGATTTCTAAGAAATTGCCTTTTGTAAAATTTGTGAACAGATCCACACATTTATACCTAGGTGAGGGGGTTAAATTGTATTCATCCTCCAAAAGAAATGAATTGGTTTATTTACTTGAAATTGAATACAAATGACAACTCTGTAAAAATAGACACTATGTAATTCTACTTTCTGAAACCTTAAAGTTTTCAATGATCATCAAAAAACCGATGATACATTTTGAAATTTTTTTTTAATAATGTATAACATAACTGGCAATTACTCGGCAAAGAACGACGCACAAGGCTTAAAAATGATGGGATGAGTGGCTGAAATTTAAAGGAAGCAAACCTTTTGTAAGATTTAATACTTAGTTTGATGAGGTTACGAAACTATTAAGGAAGATCAGAAAACAGTTTACGAGAAAGATAAAATTCACTTCTTATGAGCTAATTCCATACGACGTTATAGCACCTTTCATGACACTTGGAGCCAATTCATACTAATTACATACTTTCTCTTCCCGGAAGAAACAGAAGGAGAGGAAAATCTCAGGGAAAAAATTTGATAAAAAATAGGAAAAAAGAGCAAATGCTAATATGATTTGCTCCTTAGGAATATGTAAATACGTAAGAGTGGAAATTGACATGAATGAGAGGTAGGACAGAAAAAAATTATCAAATACTGAAATGAAGCAAGGAGGCTGCCAAGATGATTCTAAATTTCAACTTTTAACTTTTGAGCAAATTTCTATTCAGAGCTTCTTGGTTACAAAAAATTAAACAACCTGTTAGTTAGTAAAAAGAAATAATTACAATTTAATTGCGACTGTTTTCCTGATTTTTCTTTTTTTACGATGCTCCTTCAGATGTCTTTCTGTCTGTTGTAATTACTTTATGAGTAGTTACGGGAGAAATACATTTGCAGTGACCATCAGTCTTGAGAATACTGACATATATTTCAAAATAAGGACTCATGGCAAGTTTCAAGCGTTCTGAATTCTTTTACATATTAATAATCAGAAAATTGACCTAAGAGCACCATCATATAATATTTATTTGATATAGATGCATGTACAGGGAGACGGTTAGTTTGCTTTAGATGCACCTTCTTGGTTTAAGGAAATTGATGTGGAGGGAGAGAAGCTTTGAGTTCCTCAGTTTTTCTTGTCAAATAACTGAAGTTTTGATCGCACAGCACCTTCACAAACAGTTAATCTTTGATGCGTGGATCTTTTCGGTTTATCTAAAAAATGTAAGTTGGTGGATGTTGAAGAGTTGGCGCCAGTAAGAGAAAAATGTTTCCTTAATTCTGAAGGTTTGATGAGAGTTGACTCCTGAAGATAGCTCCTCCTCAACTGCTGGTGCAGTTGATACCGGTTGCTTGGCTCATTTAGGTCCCACCTTTGACTTAATCCATTGGAAGAATGATATCCACTATTGACACTCTGTTTCCGCTCAAAATACTCCACAATTTTGCTTATCTGTTGTGGTTTCTGGAAAAACAAATGATACATAAATATATGGATAAAAAAGTTGAATTATTTGAGGAAAAAAAAAAATAAATAAGTAAAAAGAGAGAAAAAACATGGAGACTAGCAAATGAGCCGAGTTTAACGAGGNGGGGGGGGGGGGGGGGTAGAAATCAGTTTGGAATTGATCTTGTTGTAAATTTTCTGTAAAAGGTTCAAAGTCAGGAAAAATTATCTTGAACGTAGAGACCATGTTTAAATATTATAGACAGTTTTAATTTTAAGTTTTACATGGAAAACCGAAAAAAGGAGTGATTCAATTGAGTGGAGGATAGGAAACTGAAAAAAATAATATAATCGCAGGGTGTTTCATCGTTCACTGTCTTAGACACGCTACTAAAATTGCTGAGTAATTGAACCATATTTTGAGATTGGGAACTACGTACAATTTTAGGAGCCATTCATAAAACACTTACCTGCATAGGGTAACTTATTTCAAAAATGCTGTTTATAAAATAAGCCAGAAATTGGAGTTCCTAATTGCAAAATGCAGTCCAATTAGTACCTGAATTGGTAAGTTGACTGTTGTTTACTTTTCATTTGCAGACACCTGCTCTGCCGCTGTCTAACAGCAACAGAGGATTGACCAAGAGCGCCACTGATGCCAGGTGGAGATGTGTAAATTCGTCCACTGCACACATTCCACATGGCAGTCTAAGTTGGACATCTGCTGACTTATCTGACACTAGTTCTAACTTGTTAATCACTATCATTAAAAGGGGGTGAAATTTGGCCATTATGAAGTATTGGCCCAATGAGCCTCCGGGTATTTAAAAAGTCTTGTTTCAGAAAAACTTGTGGATCAGCAATGATTACAGAATTTTATAAACACACGGTGAGTAAAAAGTTCACTGCAACTTACAATCATGTGAGAATTATGTATATGGGAGGCTTAACAACTTTCAAATAAAAATTTCAAAACCATCAATGAACAGTGCAAAAACTTCATTTCAATAATGAGCATTGAATTCATGCATGAATGAAACTGCAGAAAGGAGTAAAGGCACTTAGTGTGGTGGGAATCTTTTCACAAAAATTTTAGTACCTATGGATATGTTATTAAAGATGTCGAAGACCGAGTGAATTGGCCTAAATTTCATTGAGTTTTGAAATAAAAAAAAAAAACAAAACTAGTGTTGAATGAATTTCCCGCCTTAAATGGAAAACAAGATGGCTACGATGGGGACAATGCTTTAGTCCATATGGACACGCAAGAGAATGTTTTTTTCAATTCATCAAAATTTAGGTTTAGGACTTTTTGGTTGCCAGTCTGACGAATGAAGTGTTATTGCTCCTTCCTCTTTTCTAACACTCAACAACACAGGATTCAACCTGTTTCATTACTTTATAAAATACTTGAGTGATCTTTGCAGACTATGACTTGTGTTGAAAAGAATCATTTTTTCTTCAGTTCACTCACTCTTTCTACCAGATGAAGGAAAAAATTTACATCTTGAGACAAACCTTTTCATCCCAAATAGGAGGGTCTCCGCTGGCCAGGGAAGAAACATCTTCCGAGCTATCAGTGTAAATGGAGGAAGAACGTGGGGGAGGGAAGTGATGCAAGTGCTTGGCAGAAAGGAGTAGAGGTGTTGCGATGTCATCTCCAGTTGAGTCTAAGAAAAGCGAACTTGCAGCTGAGGATGAGGAAAGAGTGACAGAGGAAGCTGTGTGAAGTCTTGCACTTAACGTATCCATTCCTGGAATCAATCAATATGATAGTGCTGAGATTAGTTGTGAAAAAAGCACTGAAATGCACAAACGAAACAGCATATTAGTGGTTATGAGCAACAAAGGCTGAACAGCACTCATTTTTTTCTATGATTGTCTGACTGTCAAGGAATTTACTTCCATTGAGTTTTGTTGCATGAAGAAATTCAGTTTCAGTCTTCTGAGTGAAAATCAAAAAGAAAAACAAACCAACTAATTTTGAGAGACGATAAAAAATTAATCTGATAAAAGGTGACGCTTCCGCGCCACTAACATCAGTGTAATAAGTAAAAATTGTTTCCTTGGTATGAAGTTATCACATTCTTTCTGCAAAATTTGGGGGAAATTTTGCATCCTAAGAGTGGCATCAACACTTTTGACTCTTTGTGGAAGTTCTTACAACTTCGTAAAGATGTTTCGGACCGCATTAAGCAGAAAGGAACTAGGCCACATCAGCTATTGCCGAATCTAATGGAGCAATTTAATTTTTTACATGAAAACTGTTTTTCGGATTTTTGTGCAGATTTCAGTGAATTTTCTGTATGGTACGAAGCAAATTCCTTAAAATTTTCAAAAGAATCCGCACAAACGTTTTCATGAAAAACTTCAATTGCCCGGTTAAATTTTATCTGATTGAGTTGATGAGGCTTGGTTCCTTTCTAAGTGCGGTTTAAATATGAGAGTGAGACTTAACCCTTTCATTTCCAGGCTAGATTTCGCATGCACATGCCCCAGGACAAAAAATGGTTACAATACAAACAAAACGGAGCGCACTCTGTCAGTAAGTAGCTAAAATTTTAGTTCAGATTTTCCTCGACAGAAAGACCTATAAATAAGAAAATACTTTAGAGTGGGGGTTGTTGGGAAATGGTGGAAGAGCTGTGGGAAAGGTTACAGTTTTGCTGAACACAGATGCTGTGTTCTTGGTGATAAAAGGGTTAGGTTCCATTATTAATTAACTGCACTGGCGTTTCAGTTTTGCATGACTCTCTTGCCTTGCCCTGCAAGGTAAAAATGAAGAGAACAAATTCACTTAAAAATAATGTAATTGACTGTCTATGAAAAAAAAAAAAATCTTGATTCAAAAAATTTTGAAAGCAAGACATTGGTACCAGAGCGTAAAAAAGAGTTCTAAAAACATTTGGGGACAAAAGAGTAAGACCAACCTGAAGTTATAGCAATTTGAAAATTTCAGTTCTAAATGCTAAGTTTTGGGGAGGGCTGTCATAAACTTCAATCTACCATATTCAGAACATGAAAATGCCAAATTATGATGCAATGGCACCAACAATCTTGCTAAATCATTTGTTTAAGCGAATCAGCAGATGAGAGCCTTGATGAGAAGAAAGAGTGCCTTCGACGGGCTGCACTGTGATGAACAACAAGAACTTGAATGGTCAAGGGATGGATTGGAGGACCAACAAGAGAGGAAAAGTAATAAACCGAAAGTAATGAAAAGAAACAAACGGGAAAGTGAGGTAACAAACTGTGAGCTAAATAATGAAAATAAAGAAATCCGAAACTAAAAAACTTAAACTCACAAAAATAAATTAAAATTGCCGACGCGTTACGGGGCTCCTCGGTCCCTTCTTCAAGGCTAAATTCCGACATTGACATGAGTCAGAATTTAGCCTTGAAGAAGGGGCCCGGGAGCCCTGAAAGGCGTCGGCAATTATAATTTATTTTTGTGAGTTTGAGTTTTTTAGTTTTGGCTTTCTTTCTCTTTATGAGAGGAAAAGTTATCACTGGGAGGTTGTACTGCTGAACACCAGCTGGGCAACATTAAAATTTGGACAGAGGGTATCTGGAATTGGATTGTCGGAAAAGGGGACATAACCCAAAATACCACCACATTATAAACTTTTTGTCAGTTTTGGTCAAACTTCAGCATATTGGACATTAACATTGTCTGCTTATTTGTGTCTGTAAGAATAAGAGCTGAATACATTTTCAAAAGCCCTTATCTCAAATCTCACTTTTAGCCTATGTTGCGGCAAAGTATTCAACTGCTTGGTAAAAATTTTGCCTTCATGGACTAAGATTCCTTTTTCTGTACCTACAAAGTCTCACTTATTAAATTAATAGGGAAAAAACATACCTGGCACACAAAAATCCTCTCCAACACTGCTAAAAAATCCTGATTCACAAGAACCCCTTCTCCTGAGTAATCCAGGAACGGTAGTGCTGGAGGTAGGGCACAACAAGTTTAAGCCTGAGGTATTGGAGCAGTTGGCAGCTAAGGAAGAAACATTCGAACTGGAGGAACAGCTTCTTAACGGAGCACAATCCAAGATGGTTGCTTCGGAGGATAGGTTAGTTGTGCGTGACTTGAAGAGTGGTAATAAATTAGAGTAGACAGTGCAAGTAGATTTCGAGTCAGCCAGCTCTGATCCTGATGTACAGTCTGAGCCATCATCACTCATTGATTTATTTTTGCCTATGGGGGAAATACATTTGAAGCAGTCATCACTTGATTCACTAACGCATGGCTGCTTCCTGAGAAATGTCGGAGAACATGGTAATGACACTGCTTTCGGATTTGAGTTCAAGTAGGATTTACGTGAATTAATTTTAACAAACTTAGAAACATATTCAAACGTTAAAGTTGATTTAGGAACATCGGTTAAATTCTTTGGTGTACTACAACTAGGCGGAGAATTATTTGATTCGCTCAATTTTCCACAACTCACGGGGCTAATACTGGAACATTTACTTTGATTTTTCAGACAGAGTTCTGAGGGTTTGACTACAGGTTCAACGACAATTGAATCTTCTACTCCTTCAGATTTACTTAGATCTATACTGCTTCTTGAACTGGGACTCCGCCGGATCCAAACATCATTCAAACTATTTACACTATTTTGATTTGAATTTGGTAAAGTTTCTGACTTCATATTTCCTACATTTAATTCTTTACTTGATGAACAAAAAAGTCTACTAGAATTTCTCAATGATTCATCCCGTTTACTTGAACTACATGGTTCATCCCCCACATATGGCGATGGCAGCTCACAACACGACGAAAACAGGTCTGAGGAGTTGGTTCCTGCAAGGATTTTTTTGACTCCCTTGAACTGACTCAAGGATGCAAAGGGATTCAGTTTGTCTGCACTAGGTTCATAATACGGATCTTCTCGGCACATTGATTCTCCAATATGTTTCAAAGGAGGTGCAACGGCCAAATGTTCCTGAGAAGGTGTCATGTAATGGCATCGAGCTTTTTCAGATGGTGAGGGAGCTGAGTGTAGTGAGTACATTGCTGTGCCGACATCCTCAGATAATGATCTGCGATGGACTACTGAAAGAAAAAAGAAAAAAGGGAACGAGACATTAAAAATTGATACTTGCAAATATTAAGGGACACTTTGCTTTCTGGACTAAGCAGTACAGTAAACAAAACTTGCATCCTTCATTTAAAGAAAATTGTAGACATTTTGTAGTGGAAGCTTTTTTTTGTTACCTTCTGATCAAGATTGTTTAAAATGCATACTTAATTCAGACAAACTAATTTTCTCCAAAAGATTATATACAATACTGCCATTACAGCCAAACTCAGTGTCTGCATACTCCAATCTAACATTCTTCTCTGATAAAACTTCATGTTGAAAGCAGTATGCAGTATGCTTCATGCAGGATTTGAGTTTGTAGACATTTTAACCGTAGCTTCAAACATACTAAAATATCACATGTTGAGGGCCTAGTAATTAGACCAAAAATTCCCTGAGGCAGAAAAGCTCGGCTACGCATCTGTCAAACATATGACTACTTGATTTGACTAATGAGTTATTTGATTGAAACTAAAAGATGAAAATAACTTACGTTTTCTATGTTTAGATTGTTTGTTGGGTGTAGTGACGGTGTGAGACAAGTGCTGGTCAAGCAAACACTCTTCACTCCGGGCTTCAACCAAAAGACCGATTCCTGGCTCTGGAGTTGATAAGCTGACTATTATTTTTTCTAACATTGCTACGATATCGTTGAATGTAGGACGGTTCTTTGGTTCAAACTGCAAAAAATTATGTAATTGAATTAAAAAGATGAAGGATGAAGATATAACAATTAAGTAGATTGCAAAGAGAAAAATTACAGACTGCCAAAATAGGATTCTAGAATATAAACATAATGAAAGCAGAGGTGCAGATTGCAGAAAGTTCTTCAGCACATACAGTTTAGCGCATCCAGGTATTCAACATATACACTATGACATTGCAGTTCACAGTAATTTTCACTAAATAATAGTGCACATGCGCTAATTTTTTAAAACTCTAATGCAGTTGCGTTAGTTTCCTAAAAATTCAATGCTTCTACAGTAAATTTTTAAAAAAATTAGCGCTTTTGCTGTAATTTTTTTAAAAATTCAACGCTTTTGCATTGGTTTTGTAACACTCAGTCCATGTTATTAATTTTTACAAAATGTCAACATCCTTGTCATAGGTCTTCGTAAAAATTTGTGCGTTGAACGTTCACTCTTTAATCTAAAACCGATTTTTTTATTCGTGTGACCAGCCGTTCAGTTCATGTAGCCAAACTTCTTCCATCAGTTCTTTTAACTTAATAAGTTCGGTTATATGAACCAAACGTTTGGTTACAAGTAAGGGTAGGTAAACCACCAACTGAAAGTAGGGTTTGACAAACCGAATAGCTGGAATAATATAGAACACAGTTTTCTCCTTCATTTCTTGAAAGAGCAATTTTATGTCCTTGCAAGTCAAAATAGTTGTATCACACGTTTCGCCCCATCTAACTTTTGTACTCTGCATTAAAGTCTCCGAGTCAGCTGAAAAGAGTTCACCTTTTCTTCGTTTTATGGATATGCAAACCTTACTGAAATGGGGTTTGGGAGTTAGCAAAAATGGGCTGTTGTCATACATACAAACTTAGAGAACACGAGGCGACAATGCTTCAACTTGAAGATAGTTTAGATCTGATAAAGCCACCTGTTTTCGAGAGGAACGACCATATCGGAGTGTACTTATTGGTATTCAACACAACCAGTACTTAACAGGGATTTGTTCAGACACCCTAACCCTGAAGGTGACAAGCACACATGATGCATGAGTTCGGTTTTTTAAGGGAATGCCTTCGACTTACTTAATGTTTTGGAAATAATTCATGCTGTCTTGGTGAGCTCTTTTCAAAGTGACATTTTAAATGAGTATAAAAATAAACTTACATTACAACAAGAGAAAGCTAATTTAAGGAACTCTGGGGGTGCCACTGGAACATTCTGCGAGCAAAGTTCTACCATGGCCAAATAATCCAAACCAAAATTTTGAGTTCGAGGAAGAATATCAGGATCGGCATTCACGCAGGCTATTATTTCACACAGGATGATTCCGTAGCTGAACACATCACTCCTCTGATCATACCACTGGCCTTTTAGACACTCAGGAGACATCCACCAGGGAGATCCCACGGTGGGCAAACGATAACCGCTCCTAATAGAGCAAAAAGTGATGGTTAGAAAGAAATGGAATAGGGTAAGAAATAAAAAATGGAATGTTACAGGAAAACTGTAACAAAATTCAGGGGACAGTTATTACTTAGAAAAAAATGTGTAGTGAGTAACTGGAGTTAAAATCATTAATTTCTTTTTTATTATTGGGAGCACATACAAATATAAAGATTAGATGAGGATGAACCTCTTAAAACAGTTGCTAACAAAGGCACAACGGTCAAAATGCATTATTTCCAGATGTTACAGTGCTTGTATTGAATGCACAACGTCTTCTTTACAACAAAACAGAGGTTAAATTGAAATGAAAAACAAAGAGTGCAAAAATCTTTTCTCATTAAACAGAGACAAAATTGTAGTTTACACAGAAAAAAGAAAAAGAAAGAAAAAATGCTAATGAAGCCTTACCTTGGGATTTTTGCAGCAAGACCGAAATCCCCAACGACAGCTGCCATTTCACCTGTTTTTTCATTATGCCGTATAAGAACATTCTATAAACAAGACAGATAAACAGACGATTAAAAATAAATAAGCACAAAATTTTCAGGTACCAAACAAATAAGTTTTAAATTTTTTGTCGAGCGCAAAAATAATAAAACTGAGCAAAATCAGCAGTTGCTACTCTTTTCTGTACTCATTTTCCTGAATAATAGCGTTGGAATTTGAGGTAATTTCAAGCATACTTTTAGTACTTTATCCAATTCCAAGCGCTTCAAAATTTTCAAAATTGATTTATTTTTGATTGTTTTCAATTTTGCAATACCTATTTGACTTTAATTTTTAAGATCTGCAGAGTTGAATTGTATTTTGACCCAAATCTTATATATCACACAAATTGTATAAATCATGCTCCTTGCTCTTTTTGCAGGGTGTCTACTAAAATAGGCTGGCCAAAGATCAGTGCTTAAGGTACTTTTTCAATACATTCTCAAGAAATTCAGTACCTCCTCAACAGAAAAATTCAGTACTTATTCAGTACCTCCGATTGACGAAATTCAAAAGATTCCAAAAATTTAAATTTCCCGCTCAAATTGGGACAAAAACGAGAAAAAAATGAAAAAAATTCTGGACCTCCTTACGGAATTTCTGCTCTTTTTCAGTACCGTCCTCAGAAAATCAGTACTGTTTACGGACTTTCCGGAAATTCCGGACTTGTAGACACCCTGTTTTGGCTCCTGCAAAAGTTCGCGACGGACCGACCCGCCCCTGTGAGCGAGAGTGCGGCAAAAGATGTCCTTGCCGCGCCACGCCGTGCGGGAACATGAATGAAACCGGCGGCGCACAGTGGTGCGAGCTAATAGCAGAGGTCGGACATTAATTTTTTGCGTAAAATATCACATTTTGATGTTTTTATGGTCACAAATCCAATTTCAATCGGTGTTCCTGAAAGGAAATTTCACGAAAAACCTAATAGAACTACTTTTGAACTTTTTTGTTTCATATTTTCGAAAATCTAAACTTTCAAAGTTTCTAGATTTTGTCCGACTTCTCCTATTGACCCGGCCCAGTGTGCGGCGGCGGCGGCGACCGGGACCGCACGGGCGACGTACATTGGATCGAGTCAATAGGAGAGGTCGGACAAACTTTGGAAACTTTAACAGGGTTCCCAGCCAATTTTGGGAAAAAAATCCCGGACTTTTCCAGGTTTTCCAGACCAGGATGAAAATTTGTCCAGGCCTTTTACCGCGGAAAAAACTCAAATAATTTGCCTTAAAAGAGACAGAGCGTGCGCGCATTTTTCGATTGTTGTAAAAACTCCTCTATTTTCATCAATTTTTGCTCTGGTTAAGCTTCTTTTTATAAGAACCAGGCTAGGATAGTATCATAACACGAATGAAATCACAAAAATAGTTAAAATATGTTGGGGGAAAAAAAAATTCTAAGTACCAGAAAAAATTCCAGACTTTTTAGCGAATTCCCTGACTTTTCCAGGCCATTTTCCCCCCTGACTTTTCCAGGTTTTCCAGATCGCTGGGAACCCTGTTTAAACGCTTATAACTCCGTTCATACAAAACTTTGAGGTTCTAAAAATGATTTCATTGGTTTTCTCGTAAACTTTCCTTTTTTAAGCTCCCCTTGAAATTTAAAACGTAACGAAATAAACATCAAAATTTGCAGTTATAGTAAAAAAATTCATGTGCGACCTCTCTCATTGACTCGATCCACACTGGAAAAAAAAAAGAATCTTAAATTTGCCGCCAAGAAGTATTTCTTCTTAAATCAAGAATTTTGCTGGTTAATGTAAGCTACTTTTTGCTTAGCCCAAGCATTACTTTTCTTGAATCAAGAAAAAGTCAGCTTAAAGCAAGATAAAGAAAATTCTTGGCGGCAAATTCAAGAATTATCATGCTTGATCCAAGCTACTTTTTTTTTTCAGTGCACTGTGCGACGGTGGGGAGGAACAGTGGAAGTGGACTACGAACTTTGGAGGTGAGATCTCGGTGGAAGACGTCTTTGGAGTGAAGGTACTGCATTCCCCTGGCGATGTCCAGCGCCAACTTCATCCTGGTCACGAACGAGAGCTCCTTGGCCGTGTTGGCTATCAGCTGCTCCAGACTCCCTCCGTTTATGTACTGCAACAAATAACGCACGGCTCATTGTCGGTGCCGCGGCGTGCTTCGCGATACATCGATTGATTCGTCATTTAAACCTATGGAGAAGGATCGATTAACGGGGTATACCTTAATTATCGATTCTTTACCACGGATTCAAACGGGGAAATATCGATAATCGATCATTCAAGCCTCGCCACTGCTCATTGTCGCTTGTCGCGTCGGTGGCGCGGCGTGCTTTGCGATACATCGATCGATCCGTCATTTAAACCTATGGAAAAGGATCGATTAACAGGGGATACCTTAATAATCGATTCTTTACCACGGATTCAAACGGGGAAATATCGATAATCGATCATTCAAGCCTCATTGTCGCTTGTCGCCGATCCCGATGAGCGCTGGTTGGCCCGTTCCGCGGCGAACACTGCCGCGCTGAGGAAAAACGCCGTATGAACCTTCAGGCGTTGCCAAATTGTGTTTGATAAAACACGAATTCCCTGGTAAACTTGTGAATATTTTTCTTCCAATTTTTCAGAGAATTTTGTCCGTATTTTGATCTAAAGTCCCTGAAAATTTGAAGGAAAGATATTCATGATTTTCCTCAAGAATGGACCAGTAGACAAGGCACAAATTTCAGCATTCTGATACACGTTTCATGATCAACATTTCACGTAGAACACGATGCGCACAACGAAATTTACCGAAATTAACTCGTTATGAAGATATTTAATGATTGTTAATGCGTGAATTCAAACCACCCGCTCATGAAAACTCAATTCTCTACGTGACTCACATCACGCGCTAAACGTTATCACGACAGTCTCTGCGATATAAAAATCTGGCAACCTTAATCTTGACGCTTTAGCTCAGCTATTGCAAGTTGTTTATAGTTTGAACAGAACATGGTGGGAAATGAACATAGCTTGATTGAGAAGCTTGCTGAAACCGTTGTAGTGCACGATTTGACTCACGTAGAGCTTTGAGTTTCTTGTGAGCGGGCAGTTCAAACTCCTCGTAACCAATGTGAAATAGAAACGTTAATATCTTTGTTAGGAGTTGATTTCGGTAATTTTCGTTGCGCGAATCGTGTTCTACGTGAAATTCTGGTCAAGAAACATGTATTAGAATGCTTAAATTCGTACCTTGTCTATTGGTCCATTAACAGTTTATCGAAGGAAATTTGGCAACTCTCGAATGTTCATACGGCGTTTTTCCTCAGCACGGCGAACAGGACGATCCTCGTCCGATCTTCCGATGGACTTCCCGTGTTCGCTCTGTTCGCCGCCAAAATGCCAACTTTCTCATCGACGCCTAGCGCCAAGTTATCCTCGGGTTCACCGAGAAGGTTCATGCAAATTCAGTCGACCCAATGGGTTGGGCGCAACGATCGAGAAACTATAGATAAGGTGATCCTATGCTATGCCAACGGTGAATTTCGTAACAACGAGCGGGCTGATAGTTGAAATTGATGGAAAAGGCTATAGACAAAAGAGACAAAAAGGATATGGAGGGATCCTATTGGTGGAAGCGAGTGGTTGGAATGGAGAGAGGATGTAATACACTAACTGACGGCAACTCACGAGAGACCCTTTAGTTAGTCCATCATTTACCCCCTTCGTCTTTGAGAAGCACCCATGTCAACCAATAGGATCGCTCCATACACTGGAAAAAAAAAAAAAAAAAAAAAAAAAAAAAAAAAAAAAAACCACATTGGATCTAGATTCCAGACTTTTGAAAACATTGACAAGAAAAAGGACTCTTGATCCAATCAGATTTAAGCTTAAATCAAAAGGAAATCCGCTCAAATTAAGAGGCTTGATTCTTGATGTAAGCTTAAATCTGATTGAATCAAGAGTATTTTTTGATGTTTTTAAGAGTGTGGATTCTAGATTTAATGTGTTTTTTTCTTTTTTTTCCCAGTGTACTCCCTTTGTCTTCTCCGTCTGTCGCTTTGTCTATCAATTTCAAAGTTTTTTGCAAAGTACTTATATTTCAAGGAAAGTTTGTCGGTGTCTCAAGAAACCAGATTCAACGAGACAACAAAAAAATCGAAGAAAAAACTGAGAAAAACCCCCGTGAAAAAAGTAGACCTATTGTCTGTAACCAAGTTTTGGCAGGTTCAAGTCAAGACATCAGAGCTCCATCGAAATCTGCATCTGACAAACTTGATACAGAATAGCGAACCGGTCCAAAATGACAAGCAGCTTAATAAGAAGGCTTACATCAATTAACCATCATGAACTTGCTAGTAGCACAGGCGATTGTTCATGATAAATTCGATGTTCCACGATTAATGCAACTAAAGCTGGAAAGACTGATACATGTGCGATAAATTATGATAATTCTACAAATGGTTAAACGCGATCGATTGAACTCAACCAAATTGTCGCACTCTACTTCTTCATCTTTTGGGGCTTTGCCTCATGAAATTAAAACTGTCATTGCGAGGTGTGAATAAGAAATCGAATGGAAATTCCGCACGGATCTGCTAAGCACATTCCAGGATCCGTCTATCGTGACATTTTTGCGTGACCCAATTCAATGCTCGTAATCGTGCAAATGAAACCAGTGAGAAAATGCAAATAAAAAAAATTCCAATTCAAAATGACGACCTATTAATTGATAATTCCAACTCATTCTGATCGCGTCCCGCATGACCATTAAATTCACGTTTTATATTCCAATCAATTTTGGCGCATTTTATTGGGCGAGTGGATAAGGAGTGATTTTCGGTTTTCCCGCTGATTGCGAAACCGTCATAAAACCGCAAAGCTGGTGCTTGCACTTGGTAAAAAGTATTTGAAAAATCCCGATAAAAGCGAACATTTTAATGATTGAGAGAAAGCTGCGGTTTTCAGTTTTCTCACGAGCTACGGAACAACTATAAAACTGTAAGTTTCGAAGAGTTATTTAATGTTTGGTATCTGCGTCATGGGAGGGCTGGGGATGGAGTATAGCAGAAATGACTTGGAAAAAATAAATGGATTAAAATTAAATTATGAAGAAAAATTCGGAAAAACTACGATTCAAAACACCGAAACCATTATAGCTGAGGAGAAAAGTGACTAGATCTTAGGAAAATTCCTCAGGATCTCTCCGATATCGATTCGTCAAATTGATTTACTTCCTCTTCGGATGTGTCGAAGTTCCGTCTGCACTCACTAATGGCTTCTTTAATATTTTGCAGAGTGACTATACACTGGTAAATGGACACAAAATATCAGCTTAAATTCAAGAATGTGCTCAAGAATACTTCCGTCCTAGACACAAAAAATCCTTCGCCGACACCATAAATTACACACTATTTCCACCAAAACGTTCCATTTGGCGGAGTGTAAGATCGATTTTTTCTTGTGAACCAGTTGTGTGGGTTGAGGAACTAGATATTCATTTACAGTGGGACAGTCATTAGCGAGGCAGAGTTTGGATGAGGAAATAGGGCGATATGCTAAAGAGACGACACGACTGTGAGAAGCTTACAGAGGCGAATTCAGCAAATTAGAAACACAGGTTTTGTTTAATTTAAACCTGTGTTGAATAATCGATTTATATCGGAGCACCACGTCTAAAAGTCGATATATTTCCATAGATTTTAATGGAGAGAACACAATGTTGCCGACTTTATGGATTCGCCTTACACTAATTGGACTGAGTTTATCCGAGACGCACCAAATCGCATTTTGGAAAAAAGGAGTTGAGAGTAGTTTTACATTCAACTAGTCGCATACTTTGTCCCTTCAAACATAAAAAGTTCAGAAAACAAATCTGGAACGTGTAAACAAAGATTTAACTTTGTTTCAAACATTAAGTCTTGTGGACGAATGAAACTTCAAACCTTTTTCTTATCGATTCAAACGTAATACATTTTGGTGCATTTCTGTTGAAATTCTATCTGCATGCAATGCTGCGAGAAAAAACACCGTGGGAGCCGAATATTGCCGACTTTCCCGCATAAACATTGATTTTTGGGAGAAGTCATGAGTATCTATTCTTAAAAAAATTAAATATACTGGATCAAATAGCGAAGAAAATTCTCTGAACATTAGAAAGAAAAATTTCGAATTTTTACTTGTCCTTTATCAGATGTGATTTGGCTACGTTCAAACTTTCATGGACGGTTTTCCTTAGGACTCGGCGAATTTTAACCTTGTACTTTTGAAGATCTGGGAAAATTTGACGGATATTGGGCTTTGTTTGACGAATTAGTTACTCAACGATTTTTTTTGTTAAAGCTTGATATTTAGGGCTAATTTACTTCCTAAAATTAACAAAACAACAGAGGATTTCGTGATATTTAAAGTGCCTCGAGGGTTCGAAAACTACTTAGTCATTTTAGCGACTAAAATCGGCGTAATGTGCGGAAATCGCACTGCGTTACTCCTGGAGAGGCGAGAATCAGATTAATGGTGAGCGATTTTTCATCGGCGATTGGGCAACGCTTGGTGACATGGCGTGATTAGGAAGGTGCGTTACGTCAAGACGTGAAGAAGTGCACAATCAGCGCAATTGAGGAGTTTTTTGGGGCTATAATGTAAACGTTTGTTGCGCAACAGGAGTCTTTAGTGTTCACGCTTTTTCGGATAGTTCGCAAGTTCGAGATGAACGCCGAATGTCCATCTACGAGAAAGGAATTTTATTTCTAAGTTCGGAGCTTCATCGGGAACCTCTTAATGATACGAATTACATATTACATTACATTTTTAGTTGAGACCACAGAGAATAAGATTATATTTTGCAATTAGGAACTACAATTTCTGGCCAAGGGTGTCTAATAAAACAGGCTGGCCAAAAATCAGTACTTATACAGTACATTCCCAAAAAATTCAGTACCTTCCTCAACGGAAAAATTAAGAACTTTTTCAGTATCTCCATTTGACAAAGTTCGAAAAATTTAAAAAATTTTAATTTCTCGCTCAAATCGCGACAAAAATGACAAGACATGGAAAAAATTCCGGACCTTCTTGCGAAATATCCACACTATTTCAGTACTTCCGGACCGTCCTTTAAAAATCAGTACTATTTCCGGACTTGCCGGACTTTTCGACACCCTGGGTCACCCATAAACACACTTGTGCATAGGGAAACTAATGATGCATACGTTGTTTCTAAACCGAGCCGAAAATCGTAGTTCCGAATTGCAAAATGTGGTCCACTTAGTTCTCACTTCTCACGACGGACTTTCCTACTTGTGATGAAATTGTCAGGCATATGTGACCGTACAAGAAAAAGGGACCTCAGCCTAAGGAGGTAAAATTCAACAGATCGCCTTTCGTCGATTTGGATACGAAAATTGGATTTATATGTTTTGACGGAGAACTCTCTCAAGTGCCTCAAGAAGTATGAGTTGCGAGCTGTATAATCATTATTGAATGAAGTTGCACTATACAATCCGAAGATTGCGTGCCTTGAAAACGGCAAATCACAATGTTAAATGGCTTTTTCTTTAAAATCGTTTTTTTCTTTTTTTGGGCCTGATGTTTTTGGGCGTTTATAATCCCCAAGCATTTGTAGAATACTTCTCTATACCTTGGTATTGATAACTTAATTTTGAGTATTCGTAAACTAACGTCCCTTTTTCGAGAACGGTGACATAATTATAAGAAAAAGAATCCTTTACAACAAGAATAATTTCTCTTGTCTCAGAGCCCGTTCAATATAGCCTCGCTTATGACTTAGTATATTCAGTCAAAATTTCAACAGGTGTTTTAAGTGCTAATTAACTTTTAACCTCTATTCAGTTCTTTTTTTCTACGTTTTTTACAGTTCCAATGAGCCCCAAAATGTTACTAACATTTTAAGGTACAAGGCGCAAGACTGACATTATCCAAAAAAGCAAATAAAAATTTCTCTCACAAGAGGCTGAATCTCAACTACAGATGATAGAGAACCGACCCGTTGGTAGTTCAATTTCAGCATCCAGAGCAACAAACGCTGTGTATCGGGTCTTGATTTCGTGAGAAGAAGTTAAACGCTCGGGTGTATTCCACGGTTATAGCATGGTTTTGGCGCACACTGGATCTTGCCACTCAAAAATCAGAGATCTACGTGAATTTCCGTGTTCCCTATCGAGTCCCAAATTGCGCACTCGTGCTAATGCGCACGCTGATTGCATATCAGAGCGCCGCGCTAGCTCCTTGACTCGACAGACGTTCGCTCGGTTTCCAACTCCAGAAGTTTGAACGATCGAAGATCTTTTACAAGACAGCCTCATTAATTACCGTCTTCGGATTAACAAAGATACACTGGAAAAAAAAAAAAAAAAAAAAAAAAAAAAAAAACATTGAATATAGAGTCCAGACTCTTGAAAACATTGACAAGAAAAAGGACTCTTGATTCAATTAGATTTAAGCTTAAATCAAAAGGAAATCCGCTCAAATTAAGAGGTTTGGTTCTTGATTTAAGCTTAAATCTGATTAAATCAAGAGTGTTTTTTCTTGTCGATGTTTTTAAGAGTACGGACTCTAGATCCAATGTGGTTTTTTTCCAGTGCAGCCTCATTAATTACCGTCTTCGGATTAATAAAGCTAGGGAAGAAAATTCAGTGACTAAAGACAACTGAGATTTTTAGATAATCTGAAGCCTGTTTTTTTAACTTGTCGCAACCCCACTAATGAGTTGATTTGTTTTTTGGGCGTAATTTTAAAAGTAGAGAGATTTTAGTGGCTATACGGAAAAAATTAAATTGCTGATTTAACAATACAATCGCTAAAAAAAGTGACTGCAATGTTTCAACGTAGGTTTTAAAACAAAAAATGCTACTTTAACCACTATTGTAAGCTAATGTAACCACGGGGGTCGTTAAAGTATCATTTTTGTGTTGTGAGATCTACATTGAAACATTGCAATCACTTTTTTAGCAATTGATTTGTTAAGTCAGCAATTTAATTATTTCCGTGTACTTACGCAAAGGCAATTGAAAATAAGTATACGGCTTTTTCTCATGTTTTTCGGCCACACGCTGGAAAAATTAGTAATTCACTCATGGGATCACTTCATTTGTGGTACGAATAGAACGCGCTGATTCTGTGAGGTCCATTGATCAATTTAACAAGTACTTTACGATGAATCTTAAATTTTAATGCTAAAAAGATTCCTGTTTTACGGCTATTACCGTTGTTTGCCAAATATTCGAAGTGAAACCAGTATTTTAACCAAATTTGTTCAATCTGGATGTTTGTTTATTTCCGGTGAAGATTCACCAGGTGTTTGCGGATTTCAAGTGATTTTTTTCCTTCTCTTCCGAGCGCGTCAAAGCTGATTTTGCGATTTTGTCACTTCGACTTTTTCGACCGACTAAAATCTATAATTCGTGTCAAAAAAGAGGGGCTGGTACGTCAGAGGCCGGACCATATAGGGCTGAAATCCGGTGCGAAGAAGATTAAATATGATAAACTCGGTTAAACTCACCTCAGTCAAAGCGTGTAGCTGGCCTTCGTGCACGCACACACCCATGAACCTACACAAAAACAACGCACACACATGTTAATTATTACACGCGAAGACACAATACATACGGGCGGCATAAGGTAGCGTATTAAAAATTCATGCATTCAATGGAGATAGACCGGCAAAAGTTTCTCTCTTGCGAAACACATTCAAATTCCCTCGAAACTGTTATTCCGGAGACATGCGCATTCTCTACAACACTGCTAATGAAAAACACCGCATGAACATTCGGGCTTTGCCAAATTTAACCTGACATGATGAAATTTTTCTGAAAAACTCGTAAATTTTTTTCGTTGAATTTTATAGAAAATCTTATTTGAGTTTGGTTTAGCGGTCCATGACATTGGGAAGCACAGCGTGCTCAATAGAACAAATGGACTTTACTTCAATAAAGTTTTTAAGCAGAGGTGCTCTCATTGTATCTACGGCCTTCACTTTTTGATAACATAAACCGGCACCTTAGCCCCTAAATTTTGGGGAGTTCTCAGGATCAAAAGTCACGAAAAATTGCTGAGTACCAACATTCATAACTCTGAATACTTCCAGGGTCTTAAAATAATCGTAATATCAAGTTTAGAGGAATTTTAGGGGGTCTCCAGGATAAAAAATTGGTTTTTCAGTAATTGAAATGAGAATTTATCAAGAACTAATTGGGGAGAAAAGTCCTATGTATGTTTTAATTAACTTTACGCGCCGGGCAATGATGCCCTGATAGTAGCACTTGCCACTTTCCTCGTCTTAAAAACCAAGCTTTTGGGCCTGAAAATTCCATAACCCCCTAAGGCTCTTGAAATCGAGATTCCGATATTTTTGATGGCATGAAAGAATTTAACGCTGACGATTCGTCCCTTTTCTGACTCGTAACAGCGTATTTACATTTTGACGTGAACCCTATTGTCTGCATGACTGCATGCTTTCCAGGAATTTCGTAGAAACAGAGATACGTCGGAGGCGCGACGAATTAGGCGAAGTGGTCATTTTTAATGCGTTTTGCACCATGAACATCGCCAACATTGAGAAACGATACCATCCCCGAAAATTTGGGAGGGGGCGGGCAAGACATAGATAGAACTCGGGGCACTTATAGAACAATACCATATATAGGGTAAAACGGTCTTATTTGACTTATGAAACACGTTCCTACCCACTGAAAAAAAGTTGCTTGGCTCAAGCATCATAATTCTTGAATTTTAAAAAATATAAAAATATCGTCCGGGCGATATGTTAATATAGCCCGTAAGTACGGCTTCCACGGCCGGAGTTTTTTTTTTTTTTTTTTTTTTTTTTTTTTTTTTTTTTTCCAGTGTAAATAAATATTTTAAGAAGGTGGAGAGATGGTGCTGGGTCCACACCGTTTCGCGGGGAAACAAAGCCAAGAAATTCCAAAAATTAAAATTAGATCCCATTTCTCCACCTTGTTACATACAGTTCGGGCCACTTCTTAGTGTTTTTTTTTTTTTTTTCATAAATATTTTAATATTTATAGATTTGACAACATTCGGATGCCCATGCGGCATTTTCCTGAGCGCGGCAGTTGTGACGTCGTCCTTCGTGAGTCGGCCGGCCGGCCGGTCGCCTGACCGCGACAGCCCCTTCGGACGCTGCGCTGCCTGTGCTGTAACCGTCATCGCGCTCTCAGGGGCTCGTGCCCAAATGATCGAGTTCTGTTCCGCGCTTGGACCATATGGCTAATCCAAGCTCCCGCGCTGAGACACAACGACGTACGAGCCTTCATACGTTGCCAAATTTCATCCAATAAAATATGAATTAACACGGAAACTTGTAAATATTACATTTCCAATAGAGAATTTGCAGGTGTCTTACATTTTGTGAATTTCACCTTTCAAATGGACTGCATTTTGCAATTTGGAGCTATAAATTCTGGCTCATCTGAAAAAACACTTACGTGCATAGGGAAACAAATGGCACATACGTTGTTTTTAAACCGAGCTAGAATTTATGGTTCCAAATTACAAAATGTAGTCCAAATTCTACTGATAGGAAAACTGAGGACGAGGATATCCTTGGTTTCTGAATTGGACAATTATTGGAGAAAATATGACAATATAACCTAATCTGCTAAAATACATGTGTTTAAATGGGAAATGCTGCCAGATGACGTCACAAGGCGGCGAATTTTCTCACTTTTAAATCTATTTTTATCCAATTTCCCATGTTAGGAAAAAATTACGATAAATACTACGAACTCAGCTCATGAGGCACTCTTAGAAGAAGCAATAAAATTTTTGTGTGAAAATTCGCCATTGTCTGAGCTTCAATAAACATGTTTAAAATGAAACTGCTGGGAAAACTGAGCACGAGGATATCCTTTGGTTTCTACATTGAACAATTACTGGAGGAAATATGATAAAACAACCTAATCTACTAAAATACATGCGTTTAAATGGAAAATGCCGCCAGATGACGTCAGAGGGCAGCACATTTTCTAACTTTTAAATCTATTTTTCTCTAATTTCCCATTTCAGAAAAAAATTATGAAAAATATTGCGAACTCAGCTTATTAGGCACTCTCAGATGAGGCAATACAATTTGTGTGGGAAAATTCTCCATTGTTTAGATAACTTTTGCTCGAATGTGGACCAAAAGTATCTGAAATTTTAAGTGGAAAATATTCACAACTTTTATTAAAAATTAGTATTTCACCAGGAGAGATTTGGCAACGCCTGGATGAACATTCGTCGTTTTTCAGTTGCAGAGCAGCATCAGCCCGCGCCGCTGTCTCGTCAAACTGTTTGTGATTCATTTTGCAATAAGGAGTCAATATTTCTGGCTCATTCATAAAAGTACCTATCGTGGCACGCATATGTTGCCTCAAAGATGAGTAAAAAAAAGGTGGTTCCTTAATGCAAAACGTGGTCTCATTCAAAACACTTCCCAAGGTTACAGCGACTTAAGGTTTAAAATCAGTAAGAGCGGTGGGTGCTTTTATCAAGGTGGCCACATATGACTGTTGCAAATTTTTACTAGCGGAAAAAGAGGTTGGTTTTTCTTGCGGAAAATGACACGTAAGTACTTCCTTCAAGAAGAATGCGACGCGGAAAATTGATAATTATACATAGGTGAGACACCTCGGTCTCACAACACAACTACCCATGAAACTGGAAATGGCTGATATCGTAAGTCTCAGCTTTTTAATTAAGAGTAAACAGGATAAAAGCTATTTATCTGAAATTTTATATTTCCTGTTTTTTTTTAAACTTACGTTTTATAAGTAAAAGTGTTTCCGTTGTTCTTCGTGATTTTGAGGAGCTCATCACATGACACGGTCCAATTTGGTTGGAAAAGTGAAATCAAAGTGATATATCTGATTCAAATTATGCCTTGGCCGTGGTCAACTTTTCGGAGCTTAATTTTACACCAATTTTTACGAAGCTTGTAAAGTTGGGAGTGAATCTGGGACTCTCTTAATAGGCTCATTGTGATCATTGTGGCATTTGTTTTCTTTTTTTCCCAGAAACAATTCTTTCGCACTGGCTAAACGCAACAGACCCATTTATCCACCAAGACGTCCAGTTCGCTAAAAAATTCAATTTACTGGAGTTCAACCGTACGCGAAATTATTGGCATGCTTTTCACGTCGCGTCGTTCAAGTACTTGAGACGATTGTTCTCGATGATGAAAGAGATTACCTTCCGCCAAAAACTGTGTCGTAATTTTCGAGTAGCGCAGAAAATCGCTTTGCTAAAAAGCTCTTGTTCGGGAGCACATGAAGTTCTTCTCTAAAGACTCAGTCATATGATTACTCGATTTGGGGCAGTGACAAATTACAAGGATCATCGCGACACATACAACCTTCAAAAGCAATTTTGGAGACAGTATTCCAGATACGACAAGAAAATACACAGAACTAAGTTCTACCTAACGAAATTATTCCACAATTGCGTAAAAATACACCATCTTCTGTATCAGAGGGTTGGTTTGTAAGATCATTACACAACCTAAACCACAGCAGAAATGATATACAATTTTGAAATTGCGAGAACGGCAAAATTAGGTACGTGCAATCGACCGAGTAGTTAATCTGATGAGTTTCTTGGGACACCTAAGTATAACAAAATATTTGTATTTGCAGATTCTGATCCAAAAATTTGCGTACAAAAAGATCTCATCCGGTTGGTATTTAGATCACAAACGCCCACCAAAAAGATAAATTGCGTGCTCGTGACGTATTGGCAGCGAATCAAGAAGTCCCGAGTTCGAATCCCGACGCAGAAGTTTCATGTTTGACGAGATGCCAAATGGACGTATTTCTGCCAAACGGAACTATGTGCTATAAAACATGAGCCCTGAGACCCATAAGAATACATGCATAACAGGGCTCACGTCATAATGCACATAGTCCCGTTTGGCAGAAATACGTCCAAATGGAAACAAGCTGATATTTTGAGAGGCGCGGAGTGGGTCGTTGCGCGAGACACAAAATCTTGTTTTCAAGGCTAAATCTAGTGAACTGTAACAAATTTCAAAGATTTCACTCAAGAGCTTATTTTGCCCCCCCCCCCCCCAAAAAAAGAGAAAAAAAATAACCCCGAGTCATATGGATGAGGAATGAAATCCACTCATAAAAGCGCACGCGTTCATTGTTGCCTGGGCAAGGACAGACGGAACGCCTTCAATTTTTCGAGTATGTTACACGGACAACCGTTGAGCGCGAATAGTTGCATCAAAGCGTAGGGAGTACGTGTATTGTGGCGTCGCAAACGGCGACAGTCCTTGTTCTGTTTGTGAATTACGTGAATTGCTCAGTTCAAAAATGACTGCAAAAACGAAAACATCTAATTCGAGCCATCAATTTCTAATTTTTCAATGAATTTTTTAAAGTATTTCTGTTGCAAGCTATCATAAGACCCTGAGACGCTATTTTCTACTTTTCTGGACGAAAAAATTAAAAAGTCTATTTGTCTTAGCGTCTCAGGGTCGTATGATAGCTTGCACCAGAAACAGTTTCAAAATTCATTGAAAAATTCATTCATGGAAAATTGATGGCTCAAATTAGGTGTTTCCGTTTCTGCAGTCATTTTTGGACGGAGCGATCAATATTAATCACTAACAGAACGAGAACTGTCGGCAGGACATAAAAAGTTTTCACTTTTTCCTCCTGCAAATAGAAAGAGCATCCTAAAAATGGGTCTTGTCAAGGATCTTTTATACAGAAATGTTTTAAAATACAGATTTTGCAGATTAACAGGTTAAACTATTAACTCAAAATTTCCTTTTTAAAAATTCAGTAAGTTTGCTTAAAACGTTTCACGGGTTAGCGATATGTATGCAAAGTCATTAAATCTCATTCACAAATCAAAAAAAAAAAAAAAGATTTAAAAAAATATTGATCTTCCAATTTGGTCAGATTGGAATGCAAATATGCATTTCCCTCAATTTCATGCGACGATGCGGGTGAGGTATTCCGAACTTTTAAACTTCCAAGGTTGTGAGGTTGAGATTCCGAAGATTCTCAGATAGTAGCTTTACTTTGTATGGGTGAATGGATTGGGACCTTGGACGTTTCTTGAGGCGTTTAGACTGATAACAGCGTCGTAATTTTCAGTTATGGCATTCGACAAATTTATAACAACACGATCTCCTAAGATTGTGGAGCAGTTTTACAAAAACGGATTCATCGCCACATAGAAAAACACAACAGACACATGTTCCACACTTCCAGGACTGCAAAATGACCTGAAATACCGACCGATGGTAGCAATTCGGTCGAATTCCCGATTCATTTAACGGGAAAATGCTCGATTTCTAAAAAACATGTGCGTTCTAATCAAAAATTCCTCTTACGCAAATTACTTATGCTGAACGACCAAATTGAAAATTGATTAGAATCGATTGAAGGTCGTATGTCAAGAAAATTTAGATCATTTTAGTCACTTTTGAAGACTTCCTGCAGGGTAATTATAGATTCTTTGAGAATTTGGCTTTCTTAACTTATTTTGTCTTTAAATGTTCGCCGTTTTTGAAAGGTCCTAGCTCGACTTAAATAACATTAATGAGTGGTGCGATTTTTGAAATTCACTTCGAGCTTATTTTTTTTTACTTAAAATGAGTCAGTGTCCTTCAATCTTATTGCTCTCTCAAGACTTTTGAACATATGTTAACCCATCACATAAGAGCTTAAAACAATTTTTAGTCATCCTGCTTGCGTTGGGAGAAAATCAGTTTTATGCTTCTTTCATAAAATTTGGTTTGGTAGACTTCGACACTCCTACCAGAAACAGATTCAACTACGTTATGTATTAGTGCAATTTTCCGTGTTAACCCTAAAGTTGAGCAACAAACTTGAGTGCGGGTGAGCGATAAGTCAATTTTATGTCGCGATAGCGGTATCGCATTCGATGGCTGCTACTAAAAACTCTTTAAGTATGCTGAGAATGAGGTTACACCAGTGTTTGTGTGGTCAACGCCGCGTGCTCATTGCTCACTAATCGACAAGAAGTGAAAGATCGAAGAGTTGGTTCGATTTCATCCAAATCTACCACTCAATGAGTTATCACGCCTGGGGTTTTTCTTAAAATTAAAAAAGACAAGAACCGAATGACAGGGGCGGATCCAGAAATTCGGCAACACCGGATTCTCTCAAGTTAAACCTACGTTAAGGTGAATCCAGGGTCCGATTAGGGATAATTCAAGATTAGAGATAGCGCCACCAGTCGCCACTGAGAATTTCACTTTCCTTCGACGATTACTGAAATAATATTCCTCAAATTACAAAAAGCAGATCCACAAGATATAGATTATTTTTTGCTTGATTTTCTGAGCCAAAAATATTGGCAATTAGAATCACAAGCACAGAGAAAGTACGGCTGAAACTTTCAGCTCAGAGGTGGCGACCGAGCGCGCAACCGAATCCCTCGTGTTCTGTCTCTCTCTCTCCCATTGCAGCAATGGGAATTACTTTCCGCCGATTAATCGATTCTTGTCAGAGCACCCGGTGCCTCCAAAAATCGATACATTTCCATAGATTTAAATGGAGAAACACAATGTTGCGAAGTTGCTGGATCCGCCAATGCCGAATAATCTAAAATTGCCTGAATACGAAAAAAGTAATAGCAAACAAGAACATGTGTACACGTTTTTCACACGCGGACAGAGAGAATATTTCACGATGCAAAAAAAAAGTTGATTGTCGCTAGTGAGGAAACACTTACCCCAAGATGTTAGGATGTGAAAGTTGGTTCATTAATTGCACCTCTTTCAGCATATTGCCTCGGTTGGAACGCAGCTGGTTCATCTTGAGCACCATCACTTGGCCCGTTACCCTATGGGTCACCTGTAACATTAGAGAAGCGAAGAAATATAGTAACAGTGGTTGTTTGATAGGAGTAACTTAATACATACATACGAGTCGCTGTTATAGCGCTCTTTGGCGCTTTGCGACACCTAATCGCCACAAAACTCGGTCTTCCCACAGGTTATCAGGGAGTTGACACTCCCTCATCTCACTTAACACCCCCTGTCGCCAACCTCTCACTGGGCGTCCCCTACGCCTCCTCCCAGGAGGAACCCAATCAAGCATCTTTTTAGTAAGTAACTTAATAAATCGACTAAAAGTTAAGATAGCACTAATTCGTCGCCTACTTGGCATAAGGGCGTAACTGCACTCTGCAATTAACCCTGTCTCTCATACAATTCAATGCTTTTCCGGGATCATCTCAGTGTGTAGTTACGCCCTTATGTCAGCCAAGCGACGAATTGCACAATAAGCAGCCGATTTCAAAACAAAAAATTGATGATGGAAAATAATTAAAATAAAGATTAGGAGTCATGTAGAAAGAATGGCTGGTTCTTGGAAAGGAGGGGTGTCTGGAAGTGCCTGACAAGGACCTGCCAATTGAAGACGCCGCACCAAGAACAGCCTATAGGCGTACAGGTCGTTATTACGCCCATCTGCTTTTCGGATACTACGTACCCTGGACTACGGTACGGTAGCGATAGAATATATACAGGTAACGGCTCGAGGTCGCAGTTCATCAAAAACAAAACTTTAAATGCGTTTTTCTCAAAACGCGAAATAGCCTGCATGAAATAGCCTTCATGCACGCTGGGCTTGTCGATTTCCTTTTACATTTTTGCAGTGGTGAATGCATAGCCGAAGTGCGCTCCAGCTAGAATTGTATAAAGCAAATGGGTGGTTTATATACGAGGATTAAAAATAAACAAGTCGTTAGAAATGAAAACAAAATAATATGAACTATGCAAAACGATTATCCGGATGTCGGAACTTGGCAATTTTGAAAACGCCTTCAAATGCGGCGTGATACCTCACGCTTTCCGGAGAGTTCAAATAGTTGTATCATTGCGCCTTAGAAATGCGACGAAAAATTACCATTGAAATAGCCTTCATGCACGGTGGCCTTTTCAATTTCCGTTAACAGTTTTGCAGTCATGAATGCATAGCTGAAGTGCGCTTCAGCTAGAATTGTATAAAGCAAATGAGTAATTTTTATAGGAGGATTATAAATAAACAAGTGGTTAGAAATGAAAAGAAAATAATATGAACTATGCAAAACGATTATCCGGATACAGGAACTTGGCTGTTTTGAAAACGCCTTCAAATGCGGCGTGATACCTCACGCATTCCGGAGAGTTCAAATAGTTGTATCATTGCGCCTTAGAAATGCGACGGAAGATTACAATTGGGGAATTAGGGGGATTGGGGAATTAGGGGAGGGTGAGAGGGAGGTCATGAGCATCACCTGGCGTAATTCTACGAGTTCGTAGTATGGCCATTGTTTCCATTTATTTTTTATTTCCTTCCCTTCCTCCAAGGAAAAGCTAGCTTTAGAATAATAAAGGGTATACGTATTTAAAAAAGGATAAATAAAAAGTCAACAATAAATGGATACAAATAAATTTGGCATAGCATCTATGTTGAGACCATTGGTGCAACAAAATTTTGGCGTAACTTTTTAGATGTGAGAAACACATGGAAAGTATCGAAAAGAAGAAGAAAAAAGAGTATTGTGGCGGCATCGATAACCGTTAATATTGTGTTACGTCTATCCGTTCCACCCTCAATAGTTATAGATTTCGGCAGAACTTGTGAGGATTCCCAGATCCGATGATTATCCCTCAGTTTCAATGGCATGCAGTTGAAGTAGCAGTTTGGAGTAACTCTCTTAATTTCCACGATTATAGACTTTGATAAAAGCATGTCCGTAAAGCATAGGGTTTTCTCATAGGCAAGGTCCCACACTGCCGTGCTAAAGAAAAACGCCGTATGAGCCTCCTGACGTTGCCGAATTTCCTTCGATAATATACGAAATTCCAGGAAAACTTGTGGATATTTTTCTGCCATTTTTTTCCAGGATTTCAATTACAATTTAATCTACAGTATCTGAAAATTTCAAAGGAAAATATTCGTAACTTTCCTCAAAAACAAACATTTTATCGGATGAGATTTGACAACGCTCGAAAGTGCATACGGCGTTCTTCCTTAGCAAGGCTGAGCAGTTGGCGTCGAAAGTATCAAGCTTTAAGATATACTTTGATTCAATACGGTTTATTGACAAGGGTCTTGTGTTCTACATGCGAGGCGCAAAAAATCAATAATTAATTAACCTAAAACATTCTCGCTCACGGGAGGTATCATTAAATTACATTCAACCTCCACGTCATAATCTCCGGAATCCCCATTCTAGTAGTCTTAAACCTACAAAGGCTCGCAGAGGAGCCGTGAGCATTGACTTGCTGCCTTGTTTAAAAGGTTTAAAACGAAGCGATTCTGTTAACATCACTGAACGAATGCCTACAACTGGCCAAAACTGGACGTAAAAAATCGTAGAACAACTATGTTCAAGTTTTTCTAGAGATGAATGAATTCCAAATCGGATGGGAGCACCCGAAGAAAGAAGATATTCATCTCTGATTGCAACTTTATGCACCACTTTTATGCTTTAGTTTTAAAACATGCTTTAATAATGAGACACAAAATTTTTCTGAGAAGTTTTCGCGAAGGTACCTAAATGGTTTCAAATAAAAGAATCGAAAATTTCAACGCGATATTTTTGTTCGTTCTACTTTTTTTTAACGTAACAAAAAAAAAAAAAAAAAATTAAATATAATCGAAGGGTCTGAATTGTTACACCGAAGATACACATTTTCCCTTTAACTATGCTAAAAACTGGAGCAGAGAGTCAAGAATGATGATACACAGTCCTACAGTCTTGAAGACGCTAATTTGCGTTTCACGCCAACTAACCGACTGGCCTGCGTTTGGCGCAATGCGAGAAGTATTCAGGCAGGCTTGTAGGCTCCAACATGGGCCGTGCGCTGACCGCACAGTTTAGTGCAATGCGCGAAGTATTCCGAAAGCCTTGCAGGCGCTAATATACGTTTAGCGCCGGCCGCACTGTGTTTAGCGCGATTATTCGAACTCGCGTTAGAATAATCGTGGCATCGAATAACAGAAAGGCCTCTGTTGTGTTTCGACACCGTGCGAGCATTCAAACGTTGCCTCGTTTCTCCCGATTACATGTTTTCTCCGAGAAAAGTTAGGAAAGTTCTTTAAACCCACGACCATTGTTCAATCTTTTCACTTCCATTTATCATCAGAAGGTAAGACATCGATGACTTGTCAACAAACTAACCTAAACTCGCGTTAACATTCAAATGCATTTATTTTCCAATTGTTCCCTGTTTTGCCAAACTTCTACCTTAAATTAACTTCATTTTAAATTCGAGCATTCCTGTAGCAAATGTTAGGGTTTCTATTCGCGCAATCCTCATTCATATGAGGACTTGTGTGTAACAATGGCGGATGTGAAAAATTAACTTTTCGAAACACATTCAAAAAACTGTTTTGGCATCAAGAAAATTTTGAGAAAATACTTGAGATGTGATCTTCGAGATCTGTACATTATGCCAGAGCCAAAAATATTAAATTTTTGTGTGAACAAGACAGTTTTTTAAGCGTGTTTCGAAAAGGTAATTTTTCACATCCGCCATTTTTACATATAAGGCCTCATATATTTTATTCAACCTTTCGCGCAATCCTGGATTACCGGTTTTATAAAAACACCCGTGGCATAAAGCAAAAATTCCGGACCTTTATAGGGAATTTACGTACTTTTCCAGTACTTCCGAACCGCCCTCAAAAAATAAGTACTATTTCTGATTTTCCCAAATCAGTAGACACCTTGTGAGAGAATGAACTAAAGATCTCAAAATTAAGTGGGTAGACGGTATTCTGAACTGGGAGAGTGATTTACAAATATTTCAGCGTAAAACAATCAGAGGTGTTAAATATTGAACTGGGACTGTGACGATTTATATGTAAAAATGCATCAATTAATTAAACATCTTGTTAGGATAAAAAGTGATTCAAAATTCGGAAATGTTATATTCTGAGCGCTGATTGTCTGATTTAAATGAAACTTCGCGCGCACCCTCACCATAAAAGCGAACTACCCATCAACTCCAGGAAACCTGAAAGTATTTTTCATCGATAACTCGAAAACGGACTTTTCGATCTTATTTCAAAATAATCGCTCTCCTGGAAAAGCTTCATCTTTATTTCGCCTCGCTTTTCCCGCAGACGATGACTTAAAATTGAAAAAATACACTAAAAAGTTAACTAAATTTTGCTTCAAACATAGGCTAACCTTTCTCTGGTCACAATCTTGAAAGTCTCAAAGTTGGTTTGTCAAAAGGAAAGCAGTGCTCCTCTAAAGATAAATTCCTTCAAAGTTATGTCATGAAAATATGAAGCAGATGCCCCGGTGCGCAATCGTTGAAAACCATCCAACAGTATCACAGCGCGAGAGACCTTACCTTGTGTAGATTGTTATCAAACGCACCGCGTTAACGCAGTAATAATATGCCACGACCACTCCGAAAAAGGGAAGAGATTTGTTCTTGAAAATATACGTGCTTACATGACATTTAAGTATCATAACCCAGAGTTGCCAGATCGGCGGCACTCCGCATTCTCCCAGGGCAGGCACCCGGTTCGCAGAAGCGCTAATAATTGCACCGAGCGACCATTAAACCTCGAGATTGACAGGCAATGTTAGACGACTCGATTTTATGGGATAAGAGTGAAAAATTGAAAGCTCTTTCTATCGCAGCAACGCATGCGGAATAAGGATTGTTGTCAAGGATTGAGCTGTTCGGCTGAAGTGAATACGAGTGCACCGGCAATGTGCCTCGTTGGTTTTGGCTGAACTTTGACTTTCCAATAATGTTGAGCCAACGTTCATTTATAACCACTGAACAATAAATCAACATGCAGATGCGCGATGGGTCATGGAATCTTAATTCAGCGGATGA